GTTCGCCCTCACTGGCATAGGGCCTCCTGCTCGAGCAGGGGGTTGGACTAGAAGACCTCCGAGGTCCCTTCCAACTCGGTTATTCTGTAAATCGCTGCCAGTTGTGTTGTGTTGTGTAGTTTTTGAAACCTCATCGGTTTCATTGTCTCTATTGCTGTTTTTAGCCTAACCTCAGTTGTCATCCCCCCCTTTTTTTTCTCTCTCTCTCTTTCAAGGGGGTGACTCTGACCCTCTGGTCAACCTGTGGCCTCTCGCGGGGTGGCATGTATGGCGAGTGGCAGGGCGTTATCTGCACGGGCGAAAACAGCTCAAAGGTCCAGGTTGGTGAAAAGAGCCAGATGTTCTGTTGAAATGTGTTGATTGATAGGTCCCTGTGGGTCATAAGAAGAACATTCTGGAGGCTACAGGTAACAACAGAGGAAGGCAGGTAGGCCTCGACTTAACGGGAACAGAATTCCCCCTTGCTAAGCAAGGCAGTGAGGTCGCATCCAGTTTCGAAAGCCAATTATTGCCACCGTTGTTAAGCAAATCACAAGCTGTCGTTAAGCAAATCAGCGGGCCGTTAAGCGAATGCGGCTTGCCTCGTCGGCTTTGCTTGTTGGAAGCCAGCTGGGGGGAAAAAAAATCACAAATGACAAATCACGTATTTTCAGGATGCTGCAAATCGTTGCAAATGCGTGCGGGTTGCCCAAAGGCCCGAATTTTTATCGCCGGACCAGGGGATGCGACGATGGTCGTAAATGCGAGGATTGGTCATTGGCCTTTTTTTTTTTCCCCAGTGCCGTTGTAGTCACTAGATAAATGGTTGCAAATCGATAGTAGGTTTACACGGCTGCCCAATTTGTAAAGTGGTTCGGTTCTGACCCAGCTCCTCAAACACGACAAACCTTCTGAAGTGAACTCAAAATATTTCTTTATTCGGAGCGCCGGCAGCCCCGGCAAAAAGTTTCTCTCTCACCGCAGGCTAAGAAGTCTGGCTGGCTGGCAGATGAATAGTTGTCTGCCACACCTATTCATCTCCGCTCCTTGCCTTTCATCCCCAGAGCTAAGGTGGGGCTTCACTAGCAGTGGTGCCTCTTCGTCCCGAGGATCGGCCCATTGATTTCCACTGCTCTCCTCTCCTCTGCCTTCTGTGCGTAAAAAATGGCTGCTAAGTTGTTGTTGTTGTTTTTTTAATTTGATTTATATGCTGCCCTTCTCCGGAGACTCGGGGCGGCTTACAATGCGCTAAGCAATAGCCTTCATCCTTTTGTATATTTATACAAAGTCAGCTTATTGCCCCCACAAACTGGGTCCTCAATTTACCTACCTTAGAAAGGATGGAAGGCTGAGTCAACCTGGTGAGATTCGAACTTACTAATTGCAGACAGCTGGAGTTAAATTACAATGCATTAGTCTGCTGAGCTATCCAGGCTCGTTGTTGTTGTTGTTGTTGTTGTTGTTTTACTAAGCCCGAATAAGCAGGTTGTACCCCACTCATCAACTCAGGAGTGACGACTGTTCCTTTTGGGGGTGGGTCTCTGTTTGCAGAAATACCTCCAGCAGCTGTGGAATGCAATCCTGCTCATTGCGTTGATCCTGTGCACAGGTGTGATTGTGCAGGCACAACGACAGTCCCGGCACAGTCAGTTGGACCAAGAATCTGAGGTGGGGCCCCGCTCTCGGCCTCGGGCATAGCGTTAGTTTAGTTTAATTTCGTTTATCGTCATTGCACCCCGTACAACGATATGAAACGCCCTCTTCGCTGCGCATTATAACTATAAAAATAAAACAAAAAAAACACACCTCCTTCGCATTCTATATAATTGAATTGAAAACCCCTGATATTGCATTAATATTGCACTATTCCGTAGAATTCAAGATACCGTATTTTTCGGAGTATAAGACGCATCTTCCCCCCCCCCAAAAAGAGGGTGAAAATCTGGGTGCGTCTTATACTCCGAATGTAGCCCCGCCCGGCTTCTCAAACGGAGGTTTCAGAGGCTGAAAGAAGCTCCAGAAAAAAAGCCTCCAAACAGAGCTTCAGAAAAAAAAAAGCCTCTGAAAGGCTTTTATCTAAAATAATATGGCAAGCAACAAAAGAAGAATCAGTAAAGGTTAATGTGACTGGGTGGGCTTGGCCAACTTTTTTTTTTTTTTTACACTTTTAAAAGCATTTTTTCCCGCAACCTTAAGACGTCGTAGAAAAAAAATTGCTTTTAAAAGCCTAAAAAAAAAAAAGAAAAGTTGCCCACCCCCCCCCGGCCACTTAAACCCCCCCCCCCCACTACCATCAAACCACGCCCACAGAACCGGTAGTAACAAATTTCATCACTGGCTGGATGTCCGATCTATTCATTCTATAGTCCATTCTTGTAGGGTGAGGATGGTATCGGTCGGCCTAATAGTAAATCTTCTCCACTTGCAGCTGGATCTCAAGCAACACATTGCCCAGAAGCTGCTGGCCTTGAAAACTCGGCGTTACCATCCTGGCAGGGCCCCCCACAGCTGGGCGCACGAGATTGACAGCTGTGCCATCTGCCTGGACCAGTTTCAGAAGAATCAGGTAAGACTCGGGGATAAATTCTGCTTGTGGCTGATTTATTGGAGATGTTGGAAATGTTGGAACGTCTAACCGGAGATCGGGAGCTGGTTGCTCCCTCCGTCGTAGATCGCTGGAGGTGTTTCTGGAGGTGCTGAGATGGAGTTGAGATGTCTTAACCAGGGTTCTCTTCAAAAGAGGCTGAACCATAAAAGATTATGGATTAATAAATTAGAAAAGATATAAGACCTCAGTGCCTTCCGTCGTGCCCTTAAAACCCACTTTTTCCAGCAAGCCGGGCTGGCTTAAGAAGAAATTTTTAAATGTTTTAATTGGTTTGTGATTTTTAATTTTTGGGGCCAAATTTATATATATTTTAATTGTTTTTAATATTTGTATTTCATGTTCTTAATTTTGGCTGTACACCGCCCTGAGTCCTCAGGGAGAAGGGCGGTATATAAATTGGAAATAAAATAATAATAAAATAAAATAAATAAGTAAATGAGAGAGAAGGCCAAAAAGATATAGATACCCAGATGACACCTGTGTAAATGGAAAAGGGGGGAAGCGGGGGGGGAAAGAAAAAAATATTATTATGTAAATGTACAATTTATGATGATACGTGTGAAATAGAAAAGGAACTGAAAAAAAGTAAATATAAATAGAAAATCCTGCTCGGATACCAGTTTGAAAGATACTGAATTGAAAATGAATGCAACAACGGCGAGAGAATGGAAGGAGGGAGTAGAAGGATAGATAGGAGGGGAGAAGAGAGGAAGGAGAGAAGAAAGGGAAAAGGAGAGGAAGAAAGGGAGGAGAAATAAAGAGTGGGAGAGAAGGTTAGAAAGAAGGGAGGTGTGGGGAAGAAAGGGGAAGGAGAGGAAGAAAGAAGAGGATAGAAGAAGGGAGGGAAGGAAAAGAGGAGAAGGAGAAGAAGGATTGTCGTAAAATAAGGGAGATGGAATGGTAGAAGAGCATCAAGCAGGGCTGGCGTGAAACCCCCCCCCTTTTTTTTTTTTTTTTAGCTTTTTAAATTGTCAATGGGTTTTAGTTTGAATATTTTAAATTTTGGGCCAAAGTCATATAATTCTTTTAAAAAAATTTAAATTTTGAAATTGGTATGTGTTTTAGTTCTGGCTGTGCACCGCCCTGAGTCCGCTAGGAGAAAGGCGGGATACAAATTGAATAAAATTATTTAATTTGGTTTCAATTATGTTTTTTAACTTTTGCATTTATGTGTTTTATTCTGTGCCTGCTCACCGCCCTGAGTCCTTCGGGAGTAGGGCGGTATACAAATTTAATAAAATGAAAAATGAAAATAAATGAAAATAAATAAATAAACAAACCCCCCGGAGATATTGAAATGGCTTAATGAACTAATGCGAAAGTCAAAAGAGAATAGGTATGATCAACAATAGATAAGAAGACGGTACGTTTGAAGACATGTTCAGGAGAAATATAAAAATAAACTTTTTCAAAAAAAAAAAAAAGCAAAAGAAAGAGGCCGAACCATGTGGGGACCAGGAGGAGCTACCAACTCAAGAGGGAAAGAACGCAGGTGGTTCCTCCCTCCTGCAACTCCTGAGTAGATCTTGGCTTGCCCAACAGTGTCTCCGGGTGCTACCCTGCCTGCACGAATTTCACCGGGACTGCGTAGATCCGTGGCTTCTCCTGCAACAGACTTGCCCTCTCTGTAAACACAACGTTCTCGGTAAGAGCCCTTGCTTGGGGTGGGGGGGTGGGGGGTAGAGGCAGCTGCCCCTCGGGTTTCCTGAGCCTCGCTTTCCAAATTTAATTTATTATTTATTTATTTTTTTGCTTTAATTTATATGCTGCCCTTCTCCGGAGACTCAGGGCGTTAAGCAATAGCCTTCATCCTTTTTGTATATTTTATACAAAGTCAGCTTATTGCCCCCACAAACTGGGTCCTCAATTTACCTACCTTAGAAAGGATGGAAGGCTGAGTCGACCTTGAGCCTGGGGAGATTTGAACTTGCAGTAATTGCAAGCAGATGTTAATAACAGGGTGCTTTCATTTATTTTATTTTATTTATTTATTTTATTTTATTTTTATTTTATTTTTTTAATTTGATTTATATGCCGCCCTTCTCCGGAGACTCAGGGCGGCTTACAATGCATTAAGCAATAGCCTTCATCCTTTTGTATATTTTATACAAAGTCAGCTTATTGCCCCCACAATCCGGGTCCTCATTTCACCTACCTTAGAAAGGATGGAAGGCTGAGTCGACCTTGAGCCTGGGGAGATTTGAACTTGCAGTAATTGCAAGCAGATGTTAATAACAGGGTGCTTTCATTTATTTTATTTTATTTATTTATTTTATTTTATTTTTATTTTATTTTTTTAATTTGATTTATATGCCGCCATTCTCCGGAGATTCAGGGCGGCTTACAGTGCGCTAAGCAATAGCCTTCATCCTTTTGTATATTTTATACAAAGTCAGCTTATTGCCCCCACAATCCGGGTCCTCAATTTACCTACCTTAGAAAGGATGGAAGGCTGAGTCAACCTTGAGCCTTGGAGAGATTCGAACTTGCAGTAATTGCAAGCAGCAGATGTTAATAACAGGGTGCTTTAGTCCACTGTACTACAGACTCTGTAGTGGCAGAAGCAGAGTAATAATATTTATATATTGGTTGGTCAGATGTCAGAAATGTTTGCTTTCATGTTTCTTTTTTTTTTTCTTCTTCCAACTTGGGTCATTTTAAGAGGCGTGGGCTTCGACTCCCAGAATTCCCACCCCACCCGCTCACCTGGCAGGCCCCCAGAATTCTGGGAATTGAAACCCCCAACCATATTTCAAATTGTTCGACCTGGGAAGCAATGGTCCTGAAAAACCCTAGGAGAGTTAGTGAGCGAGCAAAGCGAGAATGGCCAGCTGTTTTGCAGTTCTCCATCAAGAGTGCCCTGAGTTGGTCTGGAAGTGGCAGGTTTCACGCCCAGATGTGCATCGAGAATGCCCAGCTGTTTTGCAGCCACCGCCCCCTTCAGAGTACAGCTGTGGAGGTGCCCTGAGTTGGCCTGGAAGTGGCAGGCTTCGCGCCCAGATGTGCAGCTGCTGGCTCAGCCGGCACTCTGCACGTTGCAAGAAAACATTTGGGCTGCCCTAGCAGCTTTTAGATCTCGGGTCTGGCTCCAGAATTTAAAGCTCTTTTTCGATCAGTGTTACACCCCGAAACGTTCATTGCTTTAGCTCCGTGATGGCGAACCGATGGCACGCGTGCCACAGGTGGCACGTACAGCCATCTCTGCGGGCACGTCAGCTGTCGCCCCAGCCCAGCTCCACCACGCGTGCGCACAAGCCTCCCGCCGGCCAGCTGGGCTTCAGGTCTCTGCTGTGCAGGGATGGGGTGCAGGCGGGGGACGCAGGCGCACAAGAGGTGCAGCAGGTTTTTCAGCGCCAAAATGGGGCATGGGGGGGGCCTCGCGCTGTGCCCGTGCCCCGTTTTGGCTTCCAGGTTGGTGCAGGAGGCTTTCCAGAACCTCAAACCCTAATATTCCCCCCCCCCCCGTGCCTATGCGGGGGGAGTGGGGGCTATGACCACATAAATCAGGGGTCTCCAAACTTGGCAACTTTTAAGACTTGTGGACTTCCAACTCCCTTCAATTCCTGGCTGAGGAATTCTGGGAGTTGAAGTCCACAAGTCTTAAAAAGTTGCCAAGTTTTGGAGACCCCTGACATTTTTTCTTTCTTTCTCCTCCCTTCTTCTTTTATCTTCCTTTCAGGAAACTGTTGCTGAGACAGGGAGCAAATCCTGTCCTTCCTGCGCTCCGAGGGAGGAGGCCGTCTTTCCAAGAAGCCATTGCTTTAGAGAAGCAATGTTTTTTTCTCAAACCTGGCGGCCTTTTTTAAGATGCGTGGACTTCAACTCCCAGAATTCCCCCAGCCGTCTCTCCCAGAATTCTGGGAGTTGAAGTCCACGCATCTTAAAAGCTGCCAAGCTCGAGAAACGTTGCCCTTGAGTTTTGGATACGTTTCTGGGGTTGCTTTGAGAAGCAGCTACACTGACTATACTCTGGGCTCCACCGGGACAGAAACTACTCCAAGTAGTACATGTAAATAATGTATTCATATCTTCCTTCCGCCTGTTTGTGCATCATCTCCTACTACTACTACCCGGATTGGAATCCGCTCCCTTTTTCTGGGCGTGTGTCCTCCGGACGTTTTGTGCAGCTTGGATCTGAGCTGGGGTGAACCTGCCCTTCTGGGAAGCCATCTGAGGTCTTCCATCTCGTGAAGGAACGAAGACAAGGGCCGACACGCGCGAGGCTTCCAACTAACTCCGTTTTTTGGGACAGTTTGCAAAGGAAAAACGAGATTCAGCCGGTGGGATGGGGATGGATGTTTGAAATGCTTCTTTATTTATACTAACTTATTTGGGCGAGGCTCCTAAATATATATGTTTTCTGAGGTTTTCGCGGGTGTTTGTATGTAGGTCTTTGGTTATTCGGGTTTTCTCCCGCATAAAATTGGAGGTTTCTTGGTGACGTTTTGACAAAGTCTCATTCGTCATCTTCAGGCTGGTGTTTTTGGCTTCGTGCTTCTAGGAGCAATTCGTGCTTCTAGGAGCAATTCAGGCAACACCAGCCTGAAGAGGACGAATGAGACTTTGTTGAAACGTCGCCAAGACACTTCCAATTTTACGCGGGAGAAAACCCGAATATCCAAAGACCTACATACAAATACCCGCGAAAACCTCAGAAAACACACACACACATATATATATATACATATAAAAGCCCCTTGTCCTAATTAAAACAATTCTAGCAAACTGAAACAGGTGCCACCGGTCCTTTTTCTCGTATTTTTTTTTTCCTCATCCAGACGTTTCCTCCTCTTTTACAGAATGACAGAGGTGGGAGGGACCTTGGAGGTCTTCTAGTCCAACCCCTGCTCAAGGAGACCCCAGGCCCCTAGCGGCGAAACTATGGCACTCGTGCCAGAGGTGGCATTGCAGAGCCCTCTCTGTGGGGGCGCGCGCCGTCGGCCCAGCCCAGCTCCATTGGTTTTCTCCAGGGAAAGAGAAAGAAAGAGAGGGAAAGAGAAAGAAAGGGAGGGAGGGAGGGAAAGAGAAATGATACTACAGAAGTTTTTTTTATGGTTGCTAAACGTAAAAATGAAGGGCATAAAAGTGCATTTATCACGTTTTTCTTAGAACAATTAGCTGAACAACAATTAGCGTGGCTTATTTTGGCGTGGTTTGATGGTCATGTGACAATTCTTTAGGATTTAACAGAGGTACTGGCTTTTAACTGCTTGCAGAGCTGTACTGGTCTACCCATTTATTTTTGCAGGCACCAGTCTACTCATTTGTTTTGGGAGGCACCAGTGTACCCATTTGTTTATGGAGGTACTGGTCTACTCATTTGTTTATGGAGGTACTGGTCTACTCATTTGTTTATGGAGGTACTGGTCTCATTTGTTTTTGGAGGCACCAGTCTACTCATTTGTTTATGGAGGTACTGGTCTACTCATTTGCTTTTGGAGGCACCGGTCTACCCATTTGCTTTTGGAGGCACCGGTCTACTTATTTGTCTACTCAGTTTTTGTCCTTCTAGCCATTCAGCTGGGACTCAGGAGGTAGCAATAGATTCGGGGTGGGGCCAAATAAAAGGTATGAATAATGAGGGAGGGCGGGGAGGTAGAACCGGTTCGGTGATGTCATATCGTCACCGCTACCGGCTCGGCCAAACCAGGAGGAACCCACCACTGGCTGCATTTCTCGAGACCCCCCACCCCCCCCAGTGACGCTCCTGGAGTCCTTCTTGAGCGCGCTTCTCTTTATTTCTGGTGGTTGCGGGTACAGTAACCTGGCGGAGGCAGACGGCCTCTCCCTTTGGCCTGGGCGTAAGGGTTGCTTACTGCCTCCTTGTAGAAAAGATTGAACGGAGCAGGGCCCAAGGGGGTCCTGGGCGGCTGGTTGCCGGAAGTCCATTGCGGGGCGGGATTGTAGGCCGCAGGTTTGTTCAGAGGTTTGTGTCGCGAGGCGCTTCCTGTGGCGCTGCTGCTGATCGTCGGAGGCCTGGAAGCCTGTCCCTGAAAGCCGGACGCTGCGGGGTACCTGCAAAAGGAGCCGTCGGAGAAGCCGGTGCTTCAGAAGAAGGCTGTTTCCCCGGCCCCCATTTCATACCGATCTCCCTTTGGGGATAGCTCACTCACCCCACAGGAGGCGGCACTGCGTTGTCTTGAGGCCCGGGTTTTTCGGCCGACCGAATCCACAGCTGGGTTGGAAGTGCAAACTACGGAAAGAGGAATTCCCTGTTAGGCGTCCGTATCCTAAGAGACGGAAGGAAGGCACTTCTGTTGACGCTATCCGAGGAGTGCAGACGGACGTTACTGGGTCATGATGGAAAACGGTTGTCAGGGTGATATTCAGCCGGTTTGGACCGGTTCAAAGCTCATGCGCGGAAGGTCACGCCAGAGGTGGGTTTCAGCAGGTTCTGACCAGTTCTGGAGAACCGGTAGCGGGAATTTTGAGTAGTTCGGAGAACCGGTAGTAAAAATTCTGACTGGTCCCGCCCCCCATCTATTCTCTGCCTCCCGAGTCCCAGATGATGGGGAGGAAATGGGGATTTTGCAGTAAACTTCCCCTGCCATGCCTGTCAAGCCAAGCCACGCCCACTAAGCCACGCCCATAGAATCAGTAGTAAATTTTTTTGAAACCCACTGCCCCTGCTGCTGGCCAAGTGGCTGATAGCCTGGTGCCTTTGGATTTATTTATTTATTATTTATTTATTTGTTGGTTCGATTTATATATCGCCCCTTTTCCGGAGACTCAGGGCGGCTTACAATGCGTTAAGCAATAGCCTTCATACTTTTGTATATACCTGCTTAGTAGGGCTTTCGGGCCCCCCCAAGCGGTGTTCTTTTTTATACAAAGTCAGCTTATTGCCCCCCACAATCCGGGTCCTCATTTTACCTACCTCGGAAGGATGGAAGGCTGAGTCAACCTTGAGCCTGGTGACATTTGAACTCGCAGTAATTGCAGGCAGCTGGTGCTACTTAACAGCGCTTTAGTCTGCTGCGCCACCAAGGCGCCCTTCCCCTCTGCCCCGTCCAGGGTGCCCTGGGAACACCCCCCCCCCCCAATCTACCTTCTGCGTCTCCTGCTGGGGCGGCTCTTTCATTTTGCCTATCGCGTTTCGGAGACGGGAATTCTCTTCCTCCAGAACGCTGATGCGGATGTTGTTGGCCTGCAGCTGTTTTCCCATGTCTTCCATGACATTCCCGGAGACTGCCAAGAAACAAACCAGGTTTGGGGATCCGTGCCAGAGTGGAAGGGACGGAGTTTTTGGAATGGCTGTGCTCGAAACGAGGATGGGCGGAAGACCTCCCCCCCCCCCCCCCCCCGGGTGGCCCTTTGTTGTTAAAAATCGACCGTTTGCTGACTTCCGGTTGGACCGGAAGTCCCGTTTTTCACTGTCCCCGGGCTCCAGAGACTTTCTAGGAGCCTGGGGAGGTCGAAAATGGGCCTCCCTTCCCCATAGGCCCTCCGGAGACCAGAAACAGCTCACCCAGATTAACCTCACGTGGGGAGAACTTTGGTTGAGGGGTGGGTGGTCCAGATTCACAGCATTTAATCATCAAGCCGCTTCATCACACACACCCCAAGGACTTACTTTCAAACTTGGTCTCGACGGGGATGTGAAGATCTGGGAAGAAGACCAAAAGTTTCTCCTTCTCCTTCATCTCGTGGATCAGCTCCCCGAGCTCGGAGATGGTCCTCTGTAGTTCGGAAGCAGATTGCTCCAAGCTCTGCTTCTCCTGCCTCAGTTTCTCGGTGAGCTTCTGGGTGGAGAGAGCGGTGCAGGTGACCTTGCAAGCTTTCTGAATTCTACAGCAGAGCTCCTACGGGGAGACGGAAACTAAGCCTGGCCTCGGAACTAGCGAGCGATGGGAGGAAAGCGCAGCAAAGAGCGATAGCATTTAGACTTGTAGACCGCTTCATAATGCTTTCCAGCACTTTCTGAGCGGTTTTATACAGAGTCGGCACATATGGCCCCCAACAATCTGGGTCCTCGTTTTACCGACTTCGAAAGGATGGAAGGCTGAGTTGGCCCTTGAGCCGGTCAGGATCAAACTGCTGGTAGTGAGCAGAGTTAGCCTGCAATACTGCCTTCTAACCACTGTACAGGAAGGAAGGAAGGAAGGAAGGAAGGAAGGAAGGAAGGAAGGCAGGCTGAGTCAACCTTGAGCTGGTCAGGATTGAACTGCTGGCAGTGAGCAGAGTTAGCCTGCAATACTGCCTTCTAACCACTGTACAGGAAGGAAGGAAGGAAGGGAAGGGGAAGGAAGGAAGGAAGGAAGGAAGGAAAATAGCACTTAAGACTTATATGCCACTTCCTAGTGCTTTCCAACCCTATCTAAGCGGTTTACAGAGTCAGCCTATTGCCCCCAACAATCTGGGTCCTCATTTTATGGAAGGACAGAAGGCTGAGTCAACCTTGAGCCGGTCAGGATCAAACTGCTGGCAGTTGGCAGAATTAGCTTGCCATACTGCATTCTAACCACAAGGAAGGAACAGCAAAGCAATAGCACTTAGACTTATATACCGCTTCACGGTGCTTCACAGCCCTCTCTAAGCGGTTTACAGAGTCAGCCTCTTGCCCCCAACAATCTGGGTCTTCATTTTACCCACCTCGGAAGACTGAGTCAACCTTGAGCCAGTCAGGATCGAACTGCTGGCAGTGGGCAGAATTAGCCTGCAATACTGCCTTCTAACACTGTGCCACCACAGCTCTTAATAGCAATAGCACTAAACTTATAGACTGCTTCACAGCGCTTTCTAGCCCTCTCTGAAGAGGTTTACAGAGTCAGCCTCTTGCCCCCCCAGCCATCTGGGTCCTCATTTTACCCACCTCGGAAGGAGGGAAGGCTGAGTCAACCTTGAGCCGGTCAGGATCGAACTCCTGGCAGTCGGCAGAATTAAGCCTGCAGTACAGGTATAACCCCCCAACTTACGACCACAGTTCCTACCCCACTGCCTTTCCCCAGACCTTCTGGGCCTCCAGCCGGCTTTGCATCTCCCACTTTTCTTCCTGGATCTCCTTCAGCCTCTCTCTCATCATCTGCCGGTCATCTTCACTGTCGGCCATGGTGGTCTTCAGCTGCTCGTATTCTTGGTCCAGGCTGTCCAGCTGCTCCATTAGATTCTGTTGCTTGACCTGGAGGGACTGCAGGGGAGAGATGGACGGGTGATATTATGGGGCTGAAATGCCAATAAAATTATATATATATATATATATATATATATATATATATATATATGATAGAAAAACAATTAATCTCTCCCCTGGCTCAAGCTGATAAAGGGAGGAGAACTTGTGGCTCAGAGATTAATACAACTGCTTAATATGCAGGCAGCCCAAGTTCGAACCTGAGTAAGGGTATGGCTAGCTGATGAGAGCTAAAATAGCTTGAAATAGATCTATACTAGTCTCCCTTTATTTCTTTATCAGCAAATATAAATTTGATATATACATATACATATATTTTCTTACTTCTTCGTAGGATTTATGTGTGTTTTTCCTCTAGCCAGGTTTTTCCTACGGAACCAAGGTTTTTCTGCAGCCCTAGCTCAGTAGAATCACATCCACTCGATTCTGGGCTTTTTTCTTTTCTGGCAGCCAAGCAAGTCCCAACTGCCAGGTGAGAGACTTATATAGATCTATTTCTAGCTTGTTAGCCTTCATCAGTAAGCCACACCCACATCTCATGTATCCTCCCTGTAAAGGTATAGTATCTATTTTCTTACTTCTTCGTAGGATTTATGTGTGTTTTTCCTCTAGCCAGGTTTTTCCTACGGAACCAAGGAAACTTGGTTACAGAGGAAAAACCTGGCTAGAGGAAAAACACATACACATATATCTATCTATCTATCTATCTATCTATCTATCTATCTATCTATCTATCGGTCAGCTAAGGGTTTCCATTGCTTCAAGAAAGCTTCAAGAGCTTTTCACAGCAAGCTTCATGGACATATCCCCTACTTTTCTTGGCATGAAGACAGAAGTGGCTTCTTGTTCCTTCTTCCATTTCCCAGTCTAACTTAGAGTTTCCTGGGGGAAGGACATATCTCCTCCTTGGACAGCCTCTCTGCCCCACTCCTAGCCCCTCTCACCTCCTGGTGCTGGAGCATGCTCTCCCCTCTGGCTCTCTCTTTGTTGAGCTCCAGGCTGGTCCAGTTCAGCTGCTCCTCCACCCTCTCCAGCTGGCTGCCCAGGGCCTTCAGCTGCTCCTCCCGCTTGTCTACTTCGCCCTTGTCCACCATCTTGGACTCCATCTCCTCTTGCAGATCCTTTCGGGCCTGTTCTGTGAAAAGCACAACCGTTCGGGAGCCTGGGGTGGAAACAGCTGAGGGGCTCAGGAACTCGGTGGCTCCCGAGGCCTTTTCTTACATGTGTTTTAGGCTTAGAATAACAGAGTTGGAAGAGATCTTGTAGGTCATCAAGGTCTCCAACCTTGGCAACTTTTAAGACTTGTGGACTTCAACTCCCAGAATTCCTCAGCCAGCAGGGACTCTGGGAGTTGAAGTCCACAAGTTGCCAAGGTTGGAGACCCCTGGTCTAGTAGAAGTTTCTTCCTGGGACTGTTTGCTCCCCGAGCTTTCTCCCACCAGGATCTGAGATTTTGGTTGCAGTTTGATTAGCGCACGATAAGCTGTCCAGTTGTAAGTTGAGGACTACCTATAGTAACATAGCAATTACAGTACAAAGAGATTAAGATACACCTAAAGTAGTCCTAGTGCGTATAGTCAAGGCGATGGTTTTCCGAGTTGCAATGGATGGCTGGGAAAGTTGGACCACAAGGAAGGCTGAGCGCCAAAGAATGGAGGCCTTTGAACTCTGGTGCTGGAGAAGACTCCTGCGAGTCCCTTGGACTGCAAGGCCATCCAACCGGTCAGTCCTAGAGGAGATCAACCCCTGACTGCTCTTTAGAAGGCCAGATCCTGAAGAGGAAACTCAAATCCTTTGGCCACCTAATGAGAAGGAAGGACTCCCTGGAGAAGAGCCGAATGCTGGGAACGATGGAGGGCAAAAGAAGAAGAAGGGGACGGCGGAGAAGGAGGTGGCTGGATGGAGTCACTGAAGCAGTCGGCCGTGAGCTTCAATGGACTCCAGAGGATGGTAGAGGACAGGAAGGCCTGGAGGAACGTTGTCCATGAGGTTGCAATGGGTCGGACACGACTTCGCAACTAACAACAACAAAAGTAGTCCTGGAGGGTGCTAAAAAAAAAAGAGTAATTTTTCAACTAGAAACACCTGTCTTAAATTCAGTGTGCAGTTTGTTCTTACCCAGTTCCTGGATGGTGCTTTCCTGTACCTGCAGCTTTGCTTTCAAGGTGGAAAGACTCGCCTCCAGAGAAACAGCTCCTGAAAGAAGCCACACAAAAGACTCTTTAGGGGAGAGCAGGTCGAAACCAGCTAAGAGGAGAAGCGGATTCGAAAAGAGAGGAACGATTCTGAATTGGGGCCCGAAGAACGGAGAAACGCCATTCCGTCATTTTAATTTTTTATTTACTTATTAAATTCACAGGAGCGGAGTGGTGGCTTAGAGGTGGAACTCTTGCCTCACAATCAGGAGGCTGTGAGTTCGATCCTAGGTAGAGGCAGATATTTCTCTCTCTCTGAGCACAATGAGAATATATCTACTGAACAAAACTCCGCACTGGCGACCGGAAGGGCATCCGGCCAGTAAAACACTCTGGTAGCTCCAGCCCTCTCTAAGTGGTTTACAGAGTCAGCCTCTTGCTCCCAACAATCCGAACTCTCATTTTATTGACCTTGGAAATACAGAAGGCTGAATCAACCTTGAGCCGGTCAGAATCGAACTGCTGGCTGGCAGTCGGCAGAATTAGCCTGCAATACCGCCTACTAACCACTGCGCCATCACAGCTCTGAAGACTTACAGACCGCTTCACAGTGCTTTCACGGCCCTCTCTAAGCGGTTTACAGAGTCAGCCTCTTGCCTCTCCAACCATCGGAGTCCTCATTTTACCGACCTCGGAAGGACGGAAGGCTGAGTCAACCTTGAGCCGGTCAGGATTCTTCTCTGGAAGAAGGGAGAGCTCGTTCTGTGAGAACCAGAACGGAAGAACTGCTGACCTTCCGAAGCCTTCCCAACCTGGGTGCCTAAGCTGGCATCGGCGGCAAAAGCAGGGCTTAAAGAAAAAGACTAGAGAGATGCTTACAATCTTTTTGGACTGTTGCCTTCTGGCAGAAGATACAGAACAATTAGAACTCGGACCACACATTTTCTGAATAGTTTTTATCCCAGAGCTATAGTTGCGCTCAACAATGAACTAAAGGGCCGCCATCAGTGAGCTGTTGGACAGCATTACTTGGTCTGTTGTGTGGATGTTTGGGTGGTTTAAGGGTGGGGAATTGTGGTGGGTGGGAGTGTATTTGGGGATTGTTCTGTGTGCTGGACCTGGTCTTTGGATGTTAAGTGAATTTCGTTGTATGGGTATACTATGTGTACGCGTACAATGACAATAAAGTTATTATTATTTATATTTACGGTTTCCGAGGTCCTCCTTCGCCTTCTGCAGCTTGGCCATCAGTTGCTGGCTTTCCCTCTCCTTTTTTTGCAAGAGCTTCTCGGTCTCCTCCCTCTGTTGCCTCTTGGCTTCTTTCTCCTTCTGCAGACAGCCGTCCAGGTTCTCCAGCTGCTGCTTCAGCTCGTTCTTCTGCTTCTCAAACTCTTCCAGCTCCCCCTTCAAAGGGTTGATGAGCCCCATCAGCATCTGGATGTGTTTGTTGATGCGGGAAAGGTCCTTGCTCTGCTCGGTGGCCCAGTAGCCGACATCCATGACCGTGAGCAGCTTGCCTCCAAGTCTTTCCTCCACCATCTTGAGGAACTTGCCCAGGGAAGACGAGATGTTCAAGGAGCCGCAGAGGTCGATGATGGCCTTGCCCACTTCCTGCAGGCTGGCCTGGGTGCTTTCACAAGCATCACAGGGCACCAGAGCACTCTCAATCGTCTGGGAGTGGACACTCCGGCCGGGCAGATTAACCGAAGGATCCGAGCGGGCACTGAGGGCATTGTCCAGCAACCTGCTGCCGGCGGAAGACGTTAACGGAGAGTGAAACATGGGCAAAGTCACATCCGACTCGGGAGACCCACTTTTCAAATGTTCGTTCTCAGCTTTTGTGGCCCGGAAGGAATATTTTAGATTAGAAGCATATTTTTTCTAGGCACAAAAAGGGGGAAAAACAAAAACAAAAACTGGCATCTTAGTACGAATTATTATTTCACGTAATATAAATAATAAATTCCACCTCGCAGGTTGACACAGCTCACTTTGGACGAAATTGGTATAATCAAAGAAACGAGTGGTATAACGAAATTTGGAACATGGCAACGAATGATAAATTAACAGCAGAAATTACATTTTAAAAAAAGGGATGAGCAAAGCAAACAATTATAATGAAATATGGGGGGATTTTATAAAATCGGTGTTGGCGGAAGGCAAAGGGAATAAACCTACTCAAGAATATATGTTGTTTTGGAGGGGATAAGGGCACAAAATTGGAATATATTGTATATCTTTTAGTTGTTATAGATGAAGAAATATAAAGGGAGCGGGGAAATGGTTTCCGGGATGGGTTAGAGATGCACTGTAATATTTGTTCTTTTTCCTCTTTCTTTCTTTTTTTTGTATTTAGATGTATATGTAATATGTTTGTATTATTTGTATTTAAAAAATAAATTTAGAAAATGCACAGACACATAAACCACTTTGGCCTGAAATCACTCAGAATGAAATTTGGGGAGGGGGCAAGGGAAAGAACAAAGGAAAAAAAGGAGCCCAGGGGCTGACATTTTGGACCAAACAGCTTTGGAATCTTTTGACCAGATAATTAGAAAAAGAAAAAAAAATTTTTTTTGGTGCTCTGTCAAGCACTTGAAACTGACAACGGACAGTGAGGAGGTTGGGGAGGAACTTGGGCCAATCCTGGGGGCTGGGGAAAGCTCGGACGAGGGCTTTGCGTCTGAGGCAGCGAGGTAGAGGAACACCTGGAGCCCGTTCCCAGTGGCCACACCTTGGAGGAGATTGGCCCCTCCCATAGGACATAAAAAGAGGAGCGAACAGGACGTGGGCTTTTGCAGGAAGCAATCAGTTCATTTGGTCGAATTCAAGATTGGAAAGTTCTGTTCGTGACTCTAATAGAATCTGTGCCAAATTTGGCCTTGCCCTGCGTTTGGAAATGGCTTCTCTGGCAGCGTTCCAAGGGAGATAAGGTGGGTGTTGATAAGCGTTCCTCTGAAAGACTGTTTACCAAAGCCTTGTTGGCTGTGAATGACAGTCATTCACAGTCATTTAAATTAAAGAGGTTGGGCGGGAATTAAGACAGCTTCATGCTTTCTAAGGAAGCCTAGGTGAGGACAGCAGTGAGCAGATTGATGGATCGTGTGGTTTGGAGGCCTTGCCCTGTTCGGCGGAAGGTTTCTTCTCGGCTGCGTCCCCGAGTGCGGCCTGTGAAAACTCAAGAGGAGAAACTCCAAGGGGAAAATATATATATATATCTTTGGCTGCACTGGGACAGATGGACATTTGCCTACCTCGGCCACCAGCTGCTGGTAAAGGGCACCCAGTTTCAGCATGCTGTTCCAGTACTTCCTTACAGTCAGCCCTATAGACATGGAGGGCCCTACCGCCCGTGAAGTGGGCACCGCTTCTTCGCTGATGAGGCTCTCGGTATATCCCGTGAAACTCTGGAGCAGCAACAGAAGCCTTGGGGAGCCAAAAGGAAATCTTGCTTTCATTTCATGGCAAACTCCATGCCCCACTGCTCCTTCCTTAAGGAAGCCCAACACATTGCAGGACCAAACGATATTTAAAAAAAAAAAAAAATCACGGAAAATTAAATGGAATTGGCAAGACAGGGGGAAGAACAGCTCAATTAATCACCCCTGTGCTGCATGTGGTTCTCGACGTACGCATCAGCATCATCCTTTTAATGACCCCATAATCCCTTGCAGGGTGGAGTCTTGGGCAACTGAATGGAGCTGAGTATTTTACTGGCCGGATGCCTTTCCTGCCGCCATTGCTGAGTTCTACAGAACTGGTAGTAAAACCGGAGGGAGGCTCCGCCCACCCACCCCGACGTCATCAAAACCGGCCCCATTGCGAACCGGTAGTAAAGGTAAGTAGAACCCACCGCTGGGGCGCGGATAGTTAGGTGGAAATTCCACAAATTTTCCTACCTTTTCCTGTGGGCGTGGCTAGGTGGGGGAGGGGTCATGTGACTGAGTGGACATGGGCGTGAAGTGACGTCAAGTTGGCCACGCTCACTCAGTCACATCCCCTCCACTTGCACCTAGCGACGCCCACACCGAACCGGTAGCGTAAATTTTTGAAACCCACCAGTGAGCCCAAGTCGCGGGAAACTTCAGGTGTAACTTTACCTGTCGATCACCAGTTCCAGAAGAACCACGTGAGAATGCTGGGTAAATTCCGGGTCATTCTCCACAAAGTCATATTGTCCCATCAAAGCCACCAAGTCCAAGTCACAAGACACTTTATCTGGGAATTTCCAGGAAGGGAAACGCACCGCTCCAGCGTGGGAGAACACGCTGATGACTGTCCCTTGGAGATCCGTGATGTCCTTCCGCAAGCTCTCCATGCAGTTTTGGTTAACCAACAAACTCACCATGATGTCCCCCTCCCCAGATGTCCTTTGAACCATAAGAAAAGCGCCTTTGAGTCTTCAGACAGATGTTCCTGGAGGGAAGCAGTTCAGGTAAGACGCTGGCATGAAAATGGCTTACCTGAAAAGCACAGGAAAAGCAAGTGAAAGGGGAAGCTAAGGGAAAGAATAAAGCAGAGGTCTTCACACTTGGCAGCTTTAAGACTTGTGGACTTCAACTCCCAGAATTCTCCAGCCAGCAGCGCTGCTGGCTGGGGGATTCTGGGAGTTGAAGTCCACCCATCTTCAAGGTTGAGAAACACTGAATTAGGTGGAGAAATATGGAAACAAATGGGAAGATATAAATTGTTAAAGGAAACTAGGTATCTGCTTATGTTAAATGTAAATAAAATATTTAGATTAAGAGAATATATATATATATGTATGTATGTATGTATGTATGTATGTATGTATGTATGTAGGTCTTTGGTTATTCGGGTCTTCTCCCACGTAAAATTGGAAGTGTCTTGGCGACGTTTCGACGAAGTCTCATTCGTCATCTTCAGGCTGGTGTTCTTGGCTTCGTGCTTCCAAGAGCAACGCTCACAATCACATTGCTCCTGGAAGCACGAAGCCAGAACACCAGCCTGAAGATGACGAATGAGACTTCGTCGAAACGTCGCCAAGACACTTCCAATTTTACGTGGGAGAAGACCCGAATAACCAAAGACCTACATACAAACACCCGTGAAAACCTGATATACTAGAAATACATGTATAAAAGATAGATTAAGATGAGAAAGAGAAAATGTATAAATATAGATTACTAATGCGAAGATGTTTATTATTTATTTATTATTTAAATTTTTATACCGCCCTTCTCCCAAAGGACTCAGGGCGGTGCATAGCCAACACTAAAAAAGCATATATACAAAAAATTTAAAACAATTTAAAAATATATTAAATAATTTGGCCCCCGTTTTATTAAAAAACTAAAATAACCATTAAAACCATTAATTGTGTATGTTGAAAAGAAGATGTAAATATCTGTTTTTGTTTATATTTATTTATTATTTATTGGATTTGTATGTCGCCCTTCTCCCCAAGGACTCAGGGCGGCTCACAACAATAAGAAACAGAAAATACAAAAGTTTAAAAAAACAAATTAAGGCAGAACATCCAATAGATAAGGGTCCAACGTGGGAATACAAATTCAAATTTAAGAATTTAAAAAGCTACAAAATCAGTTTAGAGTCCACCCAGGTCCCGCCCGTTTGTATGTTTCCTTTGTTTTTAAAAAAATTATTATAAAATTCGTTTTATATTGGGTTGTTTTTAAAAAATTATTATAAAAAATTATAAAAATTATTTTGTGCACCGCCCCGAGTCCTTCGGGAGTTAGGGCGGTATAGAAATCTAATAAAATGAAATGAAATGATTTTTAAAAATTATAAAAAATTATTTTATAATTTAAAAAAATTATAAAAATTATTTTTTTTTAAAAAAAATGTTTGTTTGTCTTAAAAAAAGTTTACTAAAGAAAACAACAACAACCCTGCGAGGTGGGCTAGGGCAGAGAGAGAGAGAGAATTGAACCCAAAGGCAGCCAGCTGGCATTCCCACTCTCCTGGCTTTCTAGCCTCTAACCACGGTCGACCCTATGTTGTGAATTGAGCCAGAAAGCAAAAGGCACTCTGCCCATGCCCAGAGGCACTCTCCCCAATGCCGCAGAACAACACCCACCACCCCCAGCCCCGCCAGAGCAGCCCAGGCTTATGGGTTCCTTGCCTCCCAGAGACCCCTCCCAAGGAAAAGCTGGGGAGGGGGCCACGGGGGTGGGGGTGGGGTGGGGGGAGAAGGAAAGACCCACTTGCCGAATAAGCAGCCCCAGCCGCCGGCTCTCGCCAGGCGCCGCGCAGGCTTCCGCTGCCATGGCAACCGCGGGAAGCCTCCCTCCCCATCGGCGCACGCGCGGGCCCGAGGCCCCGCCCCTTTGGAACGCTGGCTCCAAGGTCCTCCCCATCCCACCCCGACCGTCTGAGGGAGTGACGTAAACAGCGCCGCTTCAGTGGGGTGCGCAGGCGCCGCTTCTTCCTATAGGCTCCGCCCTCTTCGCACTCCCTTTGTGCGCGCGCATTCTGGCTGCGGCCGCCATTTTAGAGCCGAGGTTTAGAGAACCGTTTTTTTTTTTTTTGCGCGGAGCTTTCGGTAGCGCCCACGGAGAAGGAGCGTCATGCCGGCCGGACCGGTGCAGGCGATGGCGCCCGCTCAACCAGCCCCTCCGGAGCCCAAGCAGGTATTTCGCGGCTTTCGTCTTAAGGGAATGAGGACTCCCCACCCCCACTCCGTTGTCGCTCCGCGCTTGAGGCCTCTCAGAGAGGAGCGGGGGGGGGGGGGCGCGAGGCTTTCTCCCAGAGTGCTTAGCGAGAGGCGCGGGGTGTGCTGGGAGTTGTAGTGGGGGAAGGGGCTGAACACAGCTCTTGCTGTAGCTCCGCCCTCCCATAGGTGGGGCTGCAAATCCCATGGTCCCCAGCCAGTTTGGATAGGAAATGAAGCCAAGGGCCCATTAAAAGGGCAGGAAACCTAACCAGGATGCTTTAAAAATGTTTAAATTGAAAATATTTTTTTTTAAATTTCAAATTGAAAATATTTTTAAATTTCAGATTGAAAATATTTTTAAAATTTTAAATCAAAACTATCGTAAAATTTCACATCATCCAAAATATTTTAAAATTTCAAATTGAAAATATTTTTTTAAAATTTTAAATCGAAACTATTGTAAAATTTTAAACCGAAAATATTGGAAAATTTTAAATCATCCAAAACATTTTAATATTTAAATATTTGCCCCCACCCCTACCCTTGGGATATCAGATCTGTGGTTTTTGCCCCTCTTGAACAGAAATATAGGTAGTCCTCGACTTAAAACAGTTCATTTAGAAAGTTACAATGGCACTGAATTAGGTTTCTTGGGACCATTTTTCGCACTTAACGACAATTGCAGCATCCCTACGGTCACCTGATCAAAATTCAGATGCTTGGCAACTGACTTACATTTATGACGGTTGCAGTGTCATAAAGGGGTCACGTGATCCCTTTTTGCGACCTTCGGACAAGCGAAGTCAATGGGGAAGCCATTGACGACCGGGTTACACATTTAACAAATGTAATGATTTTGATTCTGAAAGCCTAAATGATGCCTTCTCGATGTCTCCATGCAGCCAGAAGATGAACCGCAGAAGGAAGAAACTACACCTGCCAAACCAGTTGTGGGAATTATATATCCGCCACCGGAGGTTAGGAATATCGTGGACAAGACAGCCAGCTTTGTGGCTAGGTGAGAAAGCATGGATGAAGCTCGTGAACTAAATTCCGTTTGCGGCACACAAGCAGAGAGTCTTTGGGGCAGCCTCTGTCGGATTGAACTGGTCTTATTATTATTTATTAGATTTGTACATCGCCCAACTCCCAACAATTCTGGATAGCTCAGGGTAAAAACAAAGGAAAAATACAATAACTAAAAAATGGTAAGGATGACAAGAATCAGATTGCAAACGTTGAAACAATCTTACACTTGCGAAAGGCCTGGAAAAGCCAGGTCTTCAGAGCCCTACAAAACACCAGAACAGGGGTCGGCAACTTTAAACACTCAAAGAGCCACAAAGGTTCTAACCGGAAGCCCCCTGTTCAATTCTAGAGCCGACCGGATGTCCGGTTCCCCCACCATAAAGCCGCCTCCTGGCGTAGCGTCCTTTTTTCCGCTGTTGACCGGAAATCTAGTTTCCCCACCATAGAGTCGTCTCCTAGCACAGCATCCTTTTTCCTCTACCTGTCCTAACCGAAAGCCCTATCAATTGTGGAGCTGACAGGCGACAGGGAGCCGCAGCAGAGATGAAAGAGCCACATGTGGCTCCAGAGCCGCGGGTAGCCGACCCCTGTACCAGAGAGATAGAGGCCATCCAGATATCATGCACTAAAAACTCCCCAGTGGTACAAGTTGCTTTCTGATCGTGATCCTTTGAAATAATTTCTCAGGCTGCCCTCCATTAAGATAAGAATGTCTGATTAGGCACAGAAAAACTTTCTGATGCTGTGCTGACTATTCTGGAAGTGTCTGGAAACTGTCTCCCATCTCGGATGCCGAGATGCAAGCTTTTCAGGCTCAGAATAGTTCAGCAGTGATTTTGTGGCTTGGAATCTTTTGAATTTGACGTGTCTTGCTTTGAGAGAGATGCTGGGGTGTCTGTCATGGTTTCTGAGCAACAGTTTGGTTTGGTTTGGTTTTGATTTCTCCTCTCATCATTTTCCAGAAACGGCCCAGAGTTTGAAGCTCGGATCCGCCAGAATGAAATAAACAACCCCAAATTTAATTTCCTGAACCCCAATGACCCTTACCATGCCTACTACCGCCACAAGGTCAACGAGTTCAAGGAAGGAAAGGCGCAGGAGCCCTCCGCGGCCATTCCGAAGGTTATGCAGGCCCAGCAAAGTGCTCAGCAGCAGCTTCCCCAAAAGGTAAAAATATCTCCTCTCTGGGCTTCGTCTTTTTGCGCAGCTCCTTCCTCCCTAGCAGGTTTCTTAGCAACTTAACCTTAACGAATAATCAATAATAATAATTAAATAAATAATTAAATAAAATGGGTGGAGTGGAGAGAGTATCGGAGTTCTGTGCCTCTTTCCTCTGCAGGTCCAGGCCCAGGTGATTCAGGAAACGGTGATTCCCAAGGAGCCCCCGCCGGAATTTGAGTTCATTGCAGACCCTCCCTCCATCTCGGCTTTTGACCTGGACGTGGTGAAATTGACCGCCCAGTTCGTGGCTCGCAACGGCCGGCAGTTCCTGACCCAGCTGATGCAGAAGGAACAGAGGAACTATCAGTTCGACTTCCTGCGTCCGCAGCACAGCCTCTTCAATTACTTCACCAAACTGGTGGAACAGTACACCAAGGTGAAGATCATGCTCTTTGGACGCAACGGGGAGGGTTTACAAAGGTGGTTTTTCTACCAAAAAAAAAAGTACTTCAGAAATAGAATTGGTTTCATGAGAAATCTTACATATTAAAAGGATGTGTTTTTACAGATCTTGATCCCACCAAAGGGCCTCATTATAAAATTGAAGAAGGAAGCTGAAAATCCAAAAGAAGTCTTAGATCAGGTGACTAAGGAATTTTTCTTCTTTCCTTCCTTCCTTCCTTCCTTCTTTTTTTCTATCTTTTTCTTTCTTTCCTTCTTTCCTTTCTTTTTCTTTCTCGTTTTTTCTCTCTTTCTCTCTTTTCTTTTTCTCTTTCTTTTTCTTTTTTCTTTTTCTTTTTCTTTCTCTCTTTTCTTTTTTTTCTTTTCTTTCTTTTCCTTTCTCTTTTCCTTTCTCTTTTCCTTTCTCTTTTCCTTTCTTTCTTTCTTTCTTTCTTTCTTTCTTTCTTTCTTTCTCTCTCTCTCTTTCTTTCTCTCTTTCTTTCTCTCTCTCTCTCTCTCTCTCTTTCTTTCTTTCTTTCTTTCTTTCTTTCTTTCTTTCTTGTATAATTTGCTTGTAATATTTAGATCCTTAAAATCTTCTGTCCCAGATAAGAACTTTAATCAGACTGGGTATTGTTTTCTAGTTGGGTGCAACATTCACGTGGGTTTCGGTGGGAAGGATTGAGTAAATTTGGATTTTGGTACAAAATGGGGATGTTTGTGGACAGGGGCAGGGTTTCCCTCACCCCCTCCCATTTTCTGATAATTTTTGAGGACGCTTGGAGTTTCTTTCTTTTTACCTATTTAAAATCTACCCTGCTGTTTCCATTGTTTCTTGCCTCAAAATGCCAACAAATTGAAATACTCTTTTTATTTTCATTGTTTTTGACCAAGGGAGGGTTTGGCAAAAACGCTCAGGCTGCCTCATGCTGACTTAGAAATATAATTTGGTCTCTTCCAAAGGATTCCTGAATTTAATGAAAAAGGGGAACTTTCCCAAATCCTGTAAAAAAGGAAGGTGGTTTTTCTATGGCCTCTCCTCATAAGGGCTCTCTGTTTCTCATTGTTGGTGTCGTCGGCAGGCGTGCTACAGAGTCGAGTGGGCCAAATTCCAGGAGCGTGAGCGGAAGAAGGAGGAGGAGGAGAAGGAGCGCGAGCGGGTGGCTTACGCCCAGATCGACTGGCACGATTTCGTGGTGGTGGAAACGGTGGATTTCCAGCCCTCGGAACAAGGTTCATTCCCTCATTGATTTCAAAAGCGTAATCTGTTTTTCCAGAGGCTCTGTGCAGCCAGGAACCACTACGGATACCAGGAAGGAGAAATCAGAATAAAGACTTCGGGATGTAGTCCTCCAGCATGGTTTCCCCCTTCGGTCCCAGCCGGCTTTTGAACAGGGAGGGGCATTGCAGAATAAATTAGGGTACCAAGATCATAGTTGATTCACAGCAGTCAAGCCCCCCCCCTTTCCAAACCGAAGTTGATTAGCTTGCAAAGAAGATTTACTTTTAGATCCTGATTTGAATTACAATTCAAAGGTAGGCCGGACGTCTCCCTGTGATCCACTTCGTGACAATTAACAAGAATTTTTTTCCCACACCTCCTTTCTCTTGAAGGAAATTTTCCTCCTCCGACCACTCCTGAGGAACTCGGGGCTCGCATCCTGATCCAGGAACGTTACGAGAAGTTTGGGGAGAGCGAAGAGGTGGAGATGGAGGTGGAATCGGACGACGAAGACGACAAGCAAGAGAAGGCAGACGAGGCTCCCTCCCAGCTGGACCAGGACACCCAAGTGCAGGACATGGACGAAGTGAGTGATGAAAACAGACCCCCATTGGGGGGGGTGCAGTTTGATGGGTTCCTCCAAATCTCACACTTGTGGGGGTGGGAGGTGGTATGATCGGATTGAATGATCTTCAGGGCTTGGAAGTGGATAGGAGTAATTGCAGATTAATTACTGCCGTTTCACCCTCCTCTCCTTCCTCCTCCTCCTCTTTTTTTTTTTAACACTTGAAGGGTTCTGATGACGACGATGACAGCCAGAAGGTCCCTCCACCTCCAGAAACTCCAATGCCCCCACCGCTGCCCCCTACTCCAGATCAAGTCATCGTCCGGAAAGATTATGATCCGAAAGGTAAGATGAAATCCAGAGCCTGTGTCAATGTCTCTTAACCTTGGCCACCTATATTGTCATTGTACATCATGTATACAATGAAATTGGTTGCAACTCCCCGTAGGTGTAGACTAGTTTTTGCCCACGCGCTCCTCTGAGACACCAGGAGCTCAAAACTTCATTGTCTACTTTTCCCATACCATAAAAACCTGAAATATTCCTGTTGGGGATCTTAACCAGAAGTTTATAGTAAAGACAATGTATATTTGAGTATTCATGTAATGACCGCAGCTAGAATTTGTGTTTGCACAAAATTGGAAAAGCGAAGAGATCCCTACGGATGAAAATGTGATTAAGAAAATATTAGAATGATGTGCAGAAATGAATAGATTAACATTTGCAATTCAAGGAAAGGAAGAATCAGATTACTATAATATATGGGAGTTATTTTATCAATGGTTAGAGAATAAATATGAGAGTAAGGTATTGTAAAATCAGATAAGAGAAATGTTAGGGTTATGTTATTTTTTCATTATTATTATTACTATCTAGTATTAATATAAGAATGAATGTAAGCAATGAACATGGTGGTAAATTGAATTGTTAAGACACAGAATTTTATACTCGGACGACCCACAGTTTAATAAAAGATGGAATGCTTGTATTAAAAGAAAATGTTAAAAAAATTAAAAAGAAATGCAGCATCTACGCATGCCGCCATCTTGAACGATATCTTTAAGATGAGTGGACTTCAACTCCCAGAATTCCCCAGGCAAGACTAACCTACCTGGAGAGGTTTATTTTACGCACACTGATCTCCACAGCCGGGGGGAAAAAAACCTTGTTAACATGTGTTTTTTCTGCTCCCTCCAGCTTCCAAGCCTCTGCCCCCAACCCCAGCTCCAGACGAGTATCTGGTCTCCCCCATTACCGGGGAGAAAATCCCTGCCAGCAAAATGCAGGAACACATGCGGATTGGCCTTCTGGATCCCCGCTGGTTGGAGCAAAGAGATCGCTCTCTCCGAGAAAAGCAGACGGATGACGAAGTGTATGCCCCAGGTGAGTCCAGCCAGGATCTCCTCACTAGCTGTCATGTGCTCATTTAAATAGCAATTTGGATTCGATTAAAATGGAATACTGGTGAGTTAGATTACTCTGCAGCAGCTCAGAACATTTGTAAATTTATTTCTAGCAAACCTGGCATCTGGGATATGTTTAACTTTTAAAAAGCGAAGAACCTTCTACAGGTAGTCTTCAACTTAATACTGTTTAGCAACCATTCAGTTACTACAATGCTGGAAAAAATGGACTGACAATCAATCCTTATAGCCACAGCAGTTGCACTTAGAGTTATATACCGCTTCACAGTGCTTTCCAGCCCTCTCTAAGCGGTTTACAGAGTCGGCCTCTTGCCCCCAACAATCTGGGTCCTCATTTGACCGATCTCGGAAAGAAAAGTCTACCTTGAGCCAGTCAGGATCAAACAGCCAGCAGTCGGCAGAGTTAGCCTGCCATGCTGCATTTTAACTACTGTGCCACAGTTATACTTGCAACTGTCACAGCATCTCTGCGGCCACATCATCAAAATTCAGCATGCATTTACAAAGGATGCAGCATCCCAGGGTTGCTGGGGACCCCTTCCTTGTCCTATTTTCCTCCCCAACGACAACAACCTTGTGAGTTAGGCGGAGAGAAAGTGACTGGCCCAAGGTTATCCTGCTGGTTTTCATAGCCAAGGCGGGACTTGAACTCACAAACTCTGGCTTCCTAGCAAGAATGGTGCCCTCTGGAATGAGATCCTTCCTAAGATCTGGATTTCTCCTGCCCTGGTGGCATTTAGGAAGGCTTTAAAAGACCCAGAATGGACTCCTGTTAAGAGATAATTGATTTTTTTTTTTTTGTTCTTGCGTTGATGTTGTGTGCTATTGTGTTATTTCTGTAATTTTATGTTTAATCTACCGTGTTTCCCCGAAAATAAGATCCTGTCTTATATTTTTTTGAACCTTGAAATAAGCGCTTGGCCTTATTGCCATGCGCTCAAAAGCCCGATTGGGCTTATTATCAGGGGATGTCTTATTTTGGGGGAGAAACGGGGCATGTTATCAGTAATGTTTTTTTAAGCTAGGTTGCCTTAACGGATCTCATTATAAATAAATAAATCTTTTCTGGGAGTTGGGGAATGCCCAAGGGTCTTTGAATTGTGTCCCATCTTGAAAAAAATGAAACCTTTCCTTATTCGTGTCCATTTAGGCCTGGATATCGAAAGCAGCTTGAAGCAGCTGGCTGAGCGCCGTACGGATATTTTTGGCGTGGAAGAAACGGCTATCGGCAAGAAAATTGGTGAAGAAGAGATCCAGAAGCCTGAAGAAAAGGTATGTCCCTGGCAGGGCAGCCAAGAGAAGCTCTTCCCTTCCACACCTGGCCTGCCGTTAGCTTGCACCCAAAGGTGCTTTTTCAGGAGGCAACTGGGCTTTTCTGGTTTTTCTTTGAAGACGTTTCACTTCTCATCCAAGAAGCTTCTTCATCTCTTGATGGGATGGTGGGGAATGGAAGGATTTACACTCAGTATAAATATATATAGAATGAGTGGTACAGTGGCCTAGAGGTGAAGCTCTCACCTCACAATCAGGACACTGTGAATTGGATCCTAGGTAGAGGTGGATAATTTCTTTCTCTGGGCAGAGTGAGAATTTATCTGCTGAACAAAACTCCGTACTGGCTACCGGAAGGGCATCCGGCCAGTAAAACACTCTGTTAGCTCCATTCAGTTGGCCCAGATTCCACCCCGCAAGGAATGATGGGGTCGTTCAATGAAGATGACGATAATGATGATTATAAATATATACAGAATATATATATATACTGACCGAGCTTGACCCTTGTTCCACGGTGGTGTTTCAGGTGACTTGGGACGGCCACTCGGGCAGCATGGCCAGGACCCAACAGGCAGCCCAGGCCAACATAACCCTGCAAGAGCAGATTGAGGCGATCCACAAGGCCAAAGGGCTGGTGCCAGAAGACGACACCAAGGAGAAAATCGGGCCAAGCAAACCCAACGAGATGCCTCCGCCTCTGTCCTCGGCCCCCAACATCCCCAGCGGTGCTCCGCCCATTGCCTCCGTGCCCCGCCCTCCCTCGGTAAGCCCTGTTCCCTGAGAACCTTCCCTCCTTAGTCCTCCTCGCCTGCTGTAGACACAGGTAGTCCTCGACTTAACAACAGTTCATTTAGTGACGGTTCGCAGTTACAGCATCATTGAAAAGAGGGACTTGTCATCGGTTTTCACACGACTACAGTCATGTGAACAAGATTCAGAAGCTTGGCAATTGACTCCTTATTTATGACATTCTCAATGTCCGGGAGTCACGCGATCCCAGAAGCCAGATTCACTTAACAACCGGGTTATTTAGCAACTGCAATGGCTTGTTTTTATTTTATCAATCACTGGCTTATTAACTTTTTATCAACCGTGGCAAGAAAAGTCTTAAAATGGAGCCAAACCCGCTTAACAAAATGTCTCACTGAGCGACCCAAGTTTTGGGCTCAATTGCGGTCGTAAGTCGAGTACTACTTGTACCGACTTCATCTCGGCAGTCAAAATGTTTGAAGGATTAGGTTTATATCCTGCCTTCTTGTGTAAGCCTTCCCTCGTTCTATTTTCCCCGCAACCTCTGGGTGGAGGGCTCGTCCAAGGTGACCCAGCCTCTGCTCCAAAGTCAAATTAGAAATACCCTGGTTTCTGGTCTGGTCCCTTTCACACAGCTCCCCCTTGACTCTGGCTTGCCTTCCAGATGCCCCCTCCAATTCGCACCACCGTCGTCAGCGCAGTTCCAGTCATGCCTCGCCCGCCGATGACTTCCGTGGTCCGTTTGCCACCAGGTTCCGTCATCGCCGCTCCAATGCCCCCAATCATCCACGCCCCCCGGATTAACGTTGTGCCGATGCCGCCCTCAGCTCCGCCTATTATGGCCCCGCGGCCTCCTCCCATGATTGTACCCACAGGTCAGTGCTCCTCTTCCTAGCCGTCACTGTAGGGGACACGGAAGGTCCTTAGAATCCAAGGTCTCTCAGGACTTCCCTGGAGGTGCATCCTTCCCAACGCTCACAGCTCCTCCCGCTGTGCCCTTAACAACAGCATTAAATGTCGCTTTTTAAAGAAAGCTGAGGCTCAACCATTACGTTACAAAATTCCATGTAAGATTTTTTTTTTTTGCTGTTAAAATAGAAAATGTTAAGCGCTGAAAGTAAAATATTCTTCATCCTGAAGGAGGCCAACATTCGCCTACTGGCTACTTTCAAGCAAAATATTGAGCATAAGCTGTTGTGACCTCGGCTTCCTGAGTCATTAAAACACCTCAGTAGTCCCCAAAACCTCTTTTATTGCAACAGTTGTGAATTACGTTCATTCACAGCTGAGTCCCAATTAGTTGCAAAAAGTCCTTCGGGATAACCACCAACCTTTATCTCCCTTGACACGCTGCCTAAGACCTACTTGGCAAAGCCACACAGAGTCCAGAATCAAACAGAGATGCTGACTGGGAACAGGATTAACAATCTTGCTTTCCTGCAAAGGGCCCACGTGCCTTTGCTCCTCTTTTAAGCCTTATGGGAGGGACCAATCATCTCCAGGCCTTACTCCCAAGTCGTCCCTTTTGCTTTAACTGTTCGTGCCTTCTGGCAGCTCTGCGCATGCGCGCACTAGGAACAGGCTCCCCCTGTTCCTCTGCCTCGCTGAGGTCCGACTCTGGAGGCAGCACATACCTCCCAGATGGCCCTGGCGTCATCTCTGCCTCTGACGCAGAGCCTTCCCCAGACTCCAGGACTGGCCCATGTTCCTCCCCAGCCTCCTTACTGTCCGACTCTGCTGCCAGCTCCGCAGGCTGCTGGCAGACCACAACATAAGCCAGACTCAAACCACATTCTGGCTTGATAGGGTATGCATTGTGTTTTTAAATGGTAGAGCTGCACAAACCTAGCCAGTTGTGATTACTGTCGGCAAACAGATAATTAAAAACAAAACGAATTACTTCAGTATTTATATTCAGATATTGTTCGGTCACCTTCTGTTCCTTTAGAGGCGATGCTGTAATGAATGTTTTCTCTCTCCCTAAATTGCTTTCTTGGCAACTTCGGGTTGCTTTTATAAAGAACTGTATTCAGGCAACAAGTCATTTTTGTACATCGTTCTTTTATCCAGAGTGTAGAAAGAGATGATGGACAAAGACAGAATTTGCCAACCTTGGTCTCAGCAGACCTTGTTTTGCAAAAAAAAAAAAAAATGAGCACACCTTGTCATTCTCATCCAGTCCACCATCCTAATTCTCTTTCTTATTCCTTTTTCTTTGGGTGGAGGGGGGGACTGGGAATGTTCCATTGGTATGGAAGAATGTACACTACCCACCCTAATCGTTAGAATTCAGTTAAATAAATGCATATATACTGTTTGGCAGCATCCTTGTGCAGGGTAAATTAACGGACTGGGATTTGCATTTCAGGTTGAAACACGAAAAAAGCTAAGCCAGCTCTCTCTGATGATCATAGGCCGCAGTTGAGCTAAGCTGTTTGACTAATGATATTTAATTGTTACAATATAGGCTACAGACAGGGACCGGTCGGCAGTCCAGGTAACTTCTTAAATGTCACTGTGATCTCAGCTAATCGCTAACCTTTTCAAGTTGAGCTCTGATCTGCATGCATTCACTTCTTCTTGTCTGTCCGGAGTGGGGAACCCTGGCAAGTCCTCACTGATGTCTGTCTGTCTGTCTGTCAGTACTTCTGACCCTGTAGATTCCTTGGCCTGATTGTTACTGCTCTTCTAAGGTGTTGTGTGGTTGCATGTTGACTTGAGTGCCGGAGCTCCACCTTGTGAGGGAGCCAGAGGCTTCCTACAACAGAGGGATCCATCGTAGAGGACATGCCAAATAATAAATACATAAAACTCACTGAGCTGCATTGCATTGCTGTAATTGTTGTGCAGCTGTTAAGTTTGGCTTGTCAAGGACACAAGTAGGAAAGTGCACTGTTTGGTTTAAAAAAAAAAAAGTAAAGATTGCAACCACAATAATGTGCCACAGTGGCCAAAAAGGGATGTGTTCAGATTGAAGCCGAACAGCTCTATGAGATGCGAAGGCTTCGAATTCCCGCTTTGAGCAAGGAATTGGATTTATTTGCATTTAATGGATTTAATTACCATATTTTTTCGAGTATAAGATGCACTTTTCCCCCCACTAAAAGAGGCTGAAAATTTGGGCGCGTCTTATACTCCAAATGTAGCCCCGCCCACCTGCCGTCCCCCACCCTTTGGCCTCTGCCTCCCAGCAATTTGCCTCGTTGCAGCAAAAAGCCTGTTTCAGCTTCAGCACAGCCCGATTAGCACAAGCAGCTGATTGTCAGTTGGATCGGCCTCCCGACCATCAGCTGTTGAAGGGATCACCTATTGCCGCCTCCACGTGCCCTGTTTTCGGCCTCCACGTGCCCCATTTTCAGCCTATTGTGCTGAAACTGAAACAGGCTGTTTGCTGCCAGGAGGCAAATTGCTGGGAGGCAGAGGTAGAGGCAGATTTTTTTTTTCCTTGTTTTCCTCCCCAGGTAAGGTGCGTCTTATAGTCCCGACCGTCTTATACCCCGAAAAATACGGTCCTTTAAAATGATCTCTGTCCCCTCTTAAGAGTTTAGGACAGGTAGAGATATCTCGGCAGCGTAGGTTGCAAAGAGCCGATCAGTGCATCCTCTCACTGGACACGCCACACAGGAAGTGCGGGAGGGCATCACCCTTTTGTGACAAAGATACCTCATGGAGGCTTAGAGGCTTATTTAACCTTCATGTTTCTCCTGCAAAACCCACGTTTTTTATTGAGAGGGACTGAAGTTTAGGCTCCTGGCTGTCCAGTTGCCTCATTGCAGCAAACAGCCAGTTTCAGCTTCAGCTCAGCCTGATTAGCACAAGCAGCTGATTGTCGGTTGGATCGGCCTCCCGACCATCAGCTGTTTCAGGCTGCCATTGCCAATTGCCACCTCCACGTGCCCCATTTTTGGCCTCTGTGCGCCCCATTTTCCAGCCATTCCGATCAACAATCAGCTGCTTGTGCTAATCAGGCTGTGCTGAAACTGAAACAGGCTGTTTCCTAGCCGAAGAAAGTCCAAGTTGTCTTTTGGAAAAAAAAAAAACCTGTGGGACAACTATGACCTGGATGACTGAGAATCTCCCTAGACTTTTTGGCCGATGGGGTGTCTGGCTTGTGGGGTGTTTGGGGAAGAGAAGAGTGCCCGGCTTCCCTTGAGCTTTCAGCTGAACTGACCTGATTTTTAACAGTTTTTTTTTTCTTTCTTTTCTTTTTTTCCTTTTGCTTTGGAGTTACTACCGGTTACTTTCCTCTTTCTCCTTTTCTTGTGTCTTCTCCTCCTTCAAGCAGCGGGTGTCCGATGGGTCTCGCCTTCGAAGAGCCGCCGTGGTCATTCCTGCGGCTAGGAAGCGCCTCTGGGCCCCTGCATCGTTGCATGCAGCAAAAGCAGCCCGGCATTTGCCAAATTCAGTCGCCCCTCTCCGACGAAGAAGCGGGGTGCTTAACATCAGCGTCTCGATGACTGCTGTTTGCAAGAAGCCATTGACTCGGGCAAAGGAAGGTCCCGACTGTTAATTCTTGACTCTGACGTGGAAGTAACATTTTGACGCCGTCTTCGGCACCTGCTGCTTGAGGAAGTTGTACAGCCCTGTTTCTCCTCGCTCCCCCACTCCCACCCTCACCGCCTTCCAAATATCACTTTTGCAGTTTTCTTACCAAACCGGCATTTCTGTTATTTCAGCCTTTGTTCCAGCCCCACCTGTAGCACCTGTCTCAGCTCCGTCCCCCGTGTCTCAGGTTCACCCTCCACCTCCCATGGACGATGAGCCGGCTTCCAAGAAACTCAAGTCCGAAGAAAGCCTGATGCCAGAGGAAGAGTTTCTACGCAGAAACAAGGTGCGGAGCTATGCTTTGATTACAGATTAACAGGGTTGGATGGGACCTTGTAAGTCATCTAGTCCAACCCCCTGCCCAAGCAGGAGACCCGACACCATTTCTGGCAGATGGCAGTCCAGTCTCTTCTCGAAAGCCTCCAGTGATGAAGCTCGGAATGATGCTTGGAAAGCCGCCTCTCTCTGACCAGAGGGAAAATTTGGCCAGCAGGCTAAAAAAAAAACACCTTCATGTGGAAGATTTGGGCCAGGCTGATCTTACTGTATGCCTTTAAAGGCATATCAGTGCCTGTATGCCTTTCATGCCATACAGGCACTCCTCGGCTTGCGACCAAAATGGAGTCTGAAATGTCCATAGCTAAAGCGAGACAGTTAAGAGCGCTTGTCCCATCTTACGACCTTGCTTGCCACAGCTGTTAAGTGAATTAACAGTTAAGTTTGGAGCACGGTTGTTGAGTCCATCTGGCTTCGTTTGCCAGAAGGTCACAAAATAGGGATTACATCTCTATTCCCTCCTCTCTGTCCCTCTTCTCCAGTGTGTCAGCGCTGAAGTCTCAAAATGGCCTCAGTCAGGCCAGCTTCCGGGTTGACATCCAGGTTTCTTAAACGTGCCAAGCTTCAGAAACTCCTTTAGAAGTTCTGTTCAGTTAGTCCTAGACTTATTGTCAGCACTTCAAGCTGCATTTACTCTAGTGCTGACATAAGAAGGAGAAGCGGAGGCGTCTGGAAAGGGATGTTTGACTTTTCATCTGCTTATTTTCCCTGGAGATAATATCCCCTAGGAGACGGGATGGGAGGGGGGAAATTCCTTTGAGCTGGAGCAGTAGATTAGGGGTAGAGTGACTTGGAAGATGGCCAATGAGTGCAGAGGAGTGGGGGAGGGTTTTGGGTCTGGAAGTCAGAGTTGGCTGTGATGGAGTCGGAGTTAGAATGTCGTGCTTAAGAAATGGGCGTTTTTCATGAAAGACTTTGTTTGAAATGCAATTTATTTGAGACGACCTCGAAACCTGACACTTATGACTTTTAACCGAGCCCACAATTTTGGTCGTAAGTCGAGAGTCATCAGTGGAATTTTTACAGAGTGGAACCAGCCCTTTCTAAAACAGCCTAGAAAGGGCCGTCATTACATTTAAAACTCAAATTTCAATCATTTTTTTCTTAATTATAAAATAATAATTATTATTCATTATACAATAAAATAATTCTCATCTCTGCTCCACTCAGGGTCCAGTCACCGTCAAAGTCCAAGTCCCCAACATGCAGGACAAAACGGAATGGAAGCTGAGTGGCCAAGTCCTGGTCTTCACTCTCCCGCTCTCCGACCAGGTAGGTAGATTGGCCGCCATCGTACGGGTAGAGAGACCAGTTCCTTTGAGGGCCATTCAAAGTTACGACGTCAGAAATGCTTGGGCTCAATTGTGTCCATAAGTGGAGGGATTCTGAGAGTTGTGGTCCCTACTCTTGCAAATAGCACAAAAACACTCTGACCTGGACAATAAATAAATCTTAAATAAACCCGGTTATTTCTGGGCCCAGCTCGCTCCGAGTCCTGGAGAAGCCCCAAACTGACGTAACTTCCGAATGGCCACAAAATGAATGGTTTATAAGTCAAGGAGTTCCTGTGTTCGAAACACAGTCACGCTCATCTGGATGTTTCTTTTTTTTTATTATTTATTTATTGGTTCTCCCCCCCCCCAGATTTACCCACATCTGGCCATATCTTATCTTACACAATTCATCAAACTCAAATGCATTTTACTCAATTACAGTTTTTGCCCAAATCTTTTTTTTTCCCCTTTTCTTTTATCATGTCTCAATATTTCTATGCTTGCTTACATAAAGAACATCTTCATTTGCCCTTAAATTCTAATGATTGCTATTTATTCACATTTGTTCTCTTTTATTCTTTAAACAATTCATTCTTTATATTTGTTCGGGGTTGCCTTTCTTCCATTTCGTCTTCTTTATTGTACAACAATCTTTCTCCTCCAACCTACCACCTCTTCTCTTCTCTTTCCTCCTTACTTTCTCTTCCTCTTCTCCCCCCTACTTCCCCTTCCTTTCTCCTTCTCCTTCTCTCTTCCTCCCTCTCTTACCCTCACATCTGGGTGTTTCTTAACTGCCCATCATGGCAGAATACGGGGGGCCTTTTTGATCCTTCCCTGATGCTGCACCACGTTCTCCTAAAGAGGGGCCTGTTTTCTTCGGCCCGCAGGTTTCTGTTATCAAGGTGAAGATTCACGAGGCCACCGGCATGCCTGCTGGGAAACAGAAGCTCCAGTACGAGGTGAGTCATCCTCCAGCCTTGGAAATGGAACCCTTCCGCTTCCTCGGATGCCGTAATTCAACTGTAGGTCCTCCTTTTCTTCTTTACTCCAGCCCAGGGGTAGGCTTCCAAAATTTGGCCCAGTCAGCCACCTGCACCATGGGAAGGGTGGCGTTTTTGCCCTCCCCAGGCTCCGGAGGCTTTTCTCAATCCTCTGGGATGGCGAGAACAGGCTCCGGAGGCCCTACCCGAACTTAAGGTAGGCCTGTTTTTAACCCTCCCCGAGCCTCCATGCGTTCCCTGCACTTACCTGTATCTAAAATAGGCTCCTGGGAGGGGTAGGGCGGGGCCAGCCAGGGGTGGGATTTGGGGGTTCTCTGAACTGCACAGAATCTGCCGAACCCCCAGCAGCCCACCCCTGCGTGTTGCCGTAGACTTCCCAACACAGAATCGCTTATAAATGAACTTTTTTTCCCCCCTTGCTTCCTCTTCACCTTGCTTCTCAGCTTGAATTACTTTCCGTTCCTGGCTGTGAATGCCAACTCCAAATCTGGCACAGCACCACACCAGCCTCCTCGCCGTCTGAATTAGCTACCAGCCGCACAGGCCGCTGACGGGCCACAACAAGCCATCACTGCTGCAGTCTTTGGTCTTGAAACTTGTGGTCTTGTTTCTTTCAGGGCATCTTCATCAAAGATTCCAACTCCTTGGCTTACTACAACATGAGCAGCGGTTCAGTGATCCACCTGGCTCTCAAAGAGAGAGGGGGCAGGAAGAAGTGAGCGTCCGCCTCCGGCGTGATGTCCAGCCAGCTGCTTGACTTCGCCACCTAAGTTTCAGCTGTTGTGTGTTCTTCTTCGGGCTGTTTTCTTGGCCCTGTGCGTCTGTGTGGTAATCCAGAGTCTAGAGGAAATTGACCCTTACCCATCCCGTCGTCGTGCAGATTTGTGCTAATTCCGCGTTAACTTTTCAGCAGCTCGTGACGTATTTGTAGTAGGTCTTGTGTTGTTCCAGCAAGTGCTTGGTTGAATTCCTCATGGGGGTCTTTCCCCCTACTGGCTGAACCCTCGCGGGGTCTGCCTTTAAATGTAACCTTGTGTCTAAGATTGGATGGGTGGGATCTGCTTTGGTTCAGAATCTTTTACCTGTTGGGTGAACCAATTTGTTTAATTTTTCTAGGGACAAGCAAGTTTCGGTAGGTTAATAAAAATCTTTTTTTTTTTTTTTGATTTCCCACCTGAACCTTGTGAGATCTCCTTGATTGACAGTACACAGCTACTCTTTGGTCTCCTGAGCGTTTGACAGTGTGCAAATACATCCACTCCAGGGGTGAAATCCAGCAGGTTCTGACGAACTGGTAGCGGAAATTTTGAGCAGTTCAGAGAACCGGCAAATGCCACCTCTGGCTGGCCCCCAGAGTGGGGTGGGAATGGAGATTTTGCAATATCCTTCCCCCAGCAGTGAGGAGGGAATGGGGATTTTGCAATATCCTTCCCCCAGGAGCGAGGAGGGAATGGAGATTTTGCAATATCCTTCCTCCAGGAGGGGTGGGAATGGGGATTTTGCAGTATCCTTCCCCCAGGAGCGGGGAGGGAATGGAGATTTTGTAGTATCCTTCCCCAGGAGCGGAGAGGGAATGGAGATTTTGCAATATCCTTCCTCCACTTTAAAGCGCTCCATGGCTTAGGGCCGGGGTACTTACGGGACCGCCTTCTGCCACCAATAGCCTCCCCCAGCCAGTTCGCTCCCACAGAGAGGGCCTCCTCAGGGTGCCGTCGGCCAGACAATGTCGGCTGGCGACCCCCAGGAGGAGAGCCTTCTCTGTGGTGGCACCTACCCTTTGGAACAATCTACCCCCAGAGATACGAGTGATCTCCGACCTCCGGACTTTTCGTCGGGCCCTAAAAACTTATTTTTTTCAGTTAGCCGGTCTGTCCTGATTTTAGGGTTGGTTTTAAAATTTGATATGGATTTTTCAAGTTTTATAAAAAGGGGGTTTTGAATGGATTATATTCTATGGAAGTCCGGGGGGGAGGGGAGGGCTAGGGGGGGTTGGGAGGGTTAGGGTGGTTGGGGGGTTTGGGTGGGTTGGGGGGGGGGAAATGGGGTGAAAATGTAATTGTAAAACTTTTGCAATAAAAAAATAAAATTTGATACGGATTTTTAAATTGATAAGTTTTAAATTACGGGCCAAATTTATTTAATTATTTAAAATCTATTTTAACTTTAGGTATAAATGTTTTTTATCTTGGCTGTTCACCGCCCTGAGTCCGAAAGGAGAAGGGCGGTATAGAAGTTTGAATAATAAATAAATAATAAATATATATATACAGACATACACGTGGTAGAACACCAGGAGGAGAGTGATACACGAGGAAAGAGGGAGACGCCCTCTCATGGCCTCCCTTATATAGACAGCTTCTTAAAGTGGCAATAACCCTGCTGACTTCACCGGGGGGGGGGGGAGTATGTTTATACTCTGAAAAAAATGTGGTATGTTGTGCACTGACAAAAGATTTGAAATCCAGAAAGGAAAGTCTGAATCCTGGGCTCCCCTTCTCTTCCTTCCCAGGCTTTAGGGGAACTCTGCGAGATCAAGTTTGGGAAATCGCATCCTGTCTGCAGTTTGGTAAGTGGGGAAACCGACGAATCCTCGCGGGATTCTGCCAAGGACGCGGAAACCCCAAGGCAGAATGATCTGACCATCCAGCCTTTATCCCGCTCACTTTTTTGGGGGGGGGGGGGATCTCTCTGCTCTCTCCAGGTGGTCTCTTTGCCTTTGTGGTTGCCAAAATCTCTAAGCCCGGGATGGGCCGAGAGCTCCAGAGACTCTCTTACCTTGGGGTGTTCTTCGGCCTCTCCGTCTTCGCTGAGGATGACGTAAGTGCGGAGAAGAGCAACCAAGAGGATTAGGGGATTGGAGGCTAAAACATATGAAGAACGGTTGCAGGAATTGGGTTTTGTCTAGTTTAATGAAGAGAAGGACCAGGGGAGACATGATAGCAGTCTTCCAGTCTCTCAGGGGCTGCCCCAAAGAAGAGGGAGTCAAGCTATTCTCCAAAGCACCCGAAGGCAGGACAAGAAGCAATGGGTGGAAACTAATCGAGGAGAGAAGCAACTTAGAACTAAGGAGGAATTTCCTGACAGTGAGAACAATTAATCCATGCAACAACTTGCCTCCAGAAGTCGTGAATGCTCCAACACTGGAAGTTTTTAAGAAGACATTGGATAACCTTTTGTCTGAAGGGGTGTAGGGTTTCCTGCCTTAGCAGGGGGTTGGACTAGAAGACCTCCAAGGTCCCTTCCAACTCTGTTATTCTAAGTGTCGAGCAGCGGGCTCAGACAAGGAAGTAAAAGGCCTCTCTCAAAGAATGGCTCGTCAAATCAAACCATTGAGCCCTACTAAGCAAGTATATACAAAAGTATGGAGGCTATTGCTTAACGCCTTGTAAGCCGCCCTGAATCTCTGGAGAAAGGGCGGCATATAAATGGAACTAATAAATAAATGAATAAATAAATTGCCCCGAGTAAAGCAGACTGACCAGTTCGAGAGTCCTTCCTGCCAGCTTCTGGGGCACCTTGTGGCATCTTCTGCTGGGAAAACAGGCATTCTGAGCTGGCACAGGGCTGTCCAAGCTTGGCCCCTTTAAGATCTGTGGACTTCAACTCCCAGAATTCCCCAGCCAGCATCTACGCATGTCTCCCTCTAGCTCAGGGGTGTGGCTGACTGGGGTATTCTGGGAGTTGAAGTCCACAGGTCTTAAAGGGGCCAAGCTTGGACAACAGTGAGCTAGAGGGAGGTGTGCATAGATGGGTGTGTCTCCTTGCGAAAATGAGTCTATTTATTTTATTTAATTTGGGAAAGAGCATCGGAAGAAGGGTGGAAAAATATATGCACCAGTTACTTTTCTTGTCTTCAGAAAGGTTGCGGGTTAAAGAGAGAGCAGGTTATAGCCGAGGGCCAGAGAAACGAGCACAAAATGGACCCCTTTGTGAAGGTTTGTGCAGCAAATTGTGTTGGCATTGCCGCTCGCGATTGACGTTATGTGTCGTTTTGCCTTTTGCAGCCTAGAGTTGTCGAAAAATATTTCTCGGGGCCTACCATTACTTTGGAAAACACGCGGGTCGTTAGCCAGTCATTGCAACATTACCTGGAATCTGCCAGGGTAGGTGTGTGCTGAAGACGAAACTTCAGGTTTTCACTTTGGTTTTGGGGGGGTGGGGGTGGGGAAGGGAGGTCAATTGCTCACAGAAATTTATAGCCCTGAATTGAAATGGAAGAATTCCTCTCCTCTCCTCCCACTCCCTCTCTGCATTTATCTGTCTTGTGAGAGATAGTGCTGCTTGTTTTAAGATGGGTACGTTCATACCAATCCCTCCAGGATTACATTAAGGGAATCCTTGCGGCTTCAGGCTGGGGATTCTTGGGATAGGTAACGCCTGCCTTAAAAGTGAGCTAAGCTGCACCTTCAGTTCGGTGGTGAAATCTAAAATTTGTTACTACCGGTTCTGTGGGCGTGGCTTGGTTGGGGGAGATAATGTGACTGGGTGGGCGTGGCCATTTTTAAAAAAACTTTTTAAACCATTTTTTCTACAACCTCTTGGTTGTAAAATAATGCTTTCAAAAGGCTCTGACAATCCCACCTGAGTTGCCTGATCATCAGAGGCTTTTTTTCCTTTTAAATGCCTCTGACGATCCAAGCTGAGTTGCCTGATCGTCAGAGGCTTTTTTTAAAAGCCTTGCCAATCAGGCAATTCAGCTTGGATCGTCAGAGGCATTTAAAGAAAAAAAAGCCTCTGATGATCGCGTGGTTCAGCTGGGCATGGGGGGCCCCAGGGATTTTTGCTACGTTCTCTCCGAACCACCCGCCTCCATTGCCCGGATCGGGCGATCCGGTCCGAACCAGAGCATTTCACCCTGCCTCAGTTCCTTTCTGTCTTTTTGTATGCTACAAAACAATTGGGTTTATTATTTTTATAAGAAATGAATGATTGTAACACCACATAATTAATTAATTTGTACTAAGGTGATGGATATTGAGATAGATTACAAGGGAAAACATCAGTAATTATAATAAAGGAATATAAGGAATTACTAGGAATCATATTAGGTGAGATTTTAAATTTGAGGGGTACAACATAAAATGGAAGGGAAAAATTGAAACTTGGCTAAGATTAGGGGTTAGGATGAAGGGTAATATTGGTTTTTTTAAAAAATAGAGTGAATAAATATTACGGCAAAAAGGAAGTATAGAGATTGTAATTTAGTAATTTTTGTTTGTAATTTTGAAATGATTAAAATCTGTTTAAATTTGTGAACCGGCCAAATACTCTGTTCAGAAAAAAGTACATTGTATGTCTGTGTGTGTGTTTGTGTAAAAAAAAAAAAAAAAAAAACCGTTCTGGTTTTGTTTTTTTTTTCCCCTGCTTTGTCAAACTTTTTAGCAAGAGTTATTCAAGATCCTGCACAGTATTCTGCTCAACGGAGAAACGCGGGAAGCTGCTCTCAGCTATATGGCAGCCGTGGTCAATGCCAACGTTAAAAAGGCACAAATGCAGGTCAGTTTGCCATTCCAAACTCCTCTTGATGTTATACGCGGCTTTTTGCCCCTCCTGGACTTTCCAAAAAGTAGCCAGCCAAAAGGGTAGAGGGAAAAGCTCAAATCTGTAAGCAACCCCGATTTATAGCCATTTATAATGAAAATCGTGTGGAGAATACTTCGGAGTTGTGGTGATACCTGTCTGATTTTCCAATACCAAATCCTTTAGTTGGGCTTCTGATGTCTACCTGACGAGCTTCTGATTTGAAGAGCACTGATGATATTACCTAGTTGGGTCATGAAATGTCTGCAGGAAAACAACCAAGCTCAGAGAGCACCAAGGACCCCAAGTTGGCCGCCTCCTCCTTCCCACAAACCCTCCTCCCTTCTAGCACTGATGATGTTACCTAGTTGAGTCATGAAACATCTGCAAGAAAACAACTATGCTCAGGGAGCACCAAGGACCCCACAGTTAGCTGCCTTCTCCTCCTCCTTCCCAAAAACCCCATTCCCTTCTAGCACTGGCTGTCAGGGTTCCCCTAATTAAATCATGAACCTCGAGCCAAGCTTCAAAAGAAATCCAGTTATTTATTAGGAGCTTTATGCCCCACATTCCCAAATGAAGCCAACTCTGACCCTACGTAATTTACAGCCCAATTATGACCCTGCTTCCCCCCTTCCCCCCAGGGTGTGTCATCAATCACATTTGCCAACGGGGTTGTAGAGGTCACTCCCCTCCGGCTGCTGTGGGTAACCCTGGGATACAGCCTTGAGAGAGATAAGCATGGAATGTGCATCTATCTTTGGCTGCCCTGCTGTTTCACCAGTTTCCCACTCCCCCTGGCCTATGGCAACTCAAGAGCAGACCAGGGGTGCTTTGCGAGTTGACACTGATGATGTTACCTAGTTCGGTCACGAAACATCTGGAGGAAAACAACCAAGCTCAAGAGAGAGCACCAAGGACCTCTCATTTCAACCCTGAGCTACAACTGTTCTCCCTTATTGATACCCAGGAGGCCTTGGGGGTCAACTCAAGACCCGACCTGGCTCCTTATTTTGGCTCCTCTTTGTCGGGCCCGCAGGCGGACGATCGGCTGGTGTCTACGGATGGCTTCATGCTGAACTTCCTGTGGGTGCTGCAGCAGCTGAGCACAAAAATCAAACTCGAGACGGTCGATCCGTCCTACATCTTCCATCCTCGGTGTCGAATCATGGTGCCTGCGGACGAAACGCGAGTCAAAGCCACCTTGGAGGATGTCAGCAGCTGGATGGTTGAGCTGTGTGAGTGAACAACTTCTGCTTTCGCTCGGATACATGCGCTGATGTCAGTCTTTGTTGTTCGGATTGAGACCTTTCATGGAATCTGCACCAGGTCTCTCTTGCTAATTTGATTTGTGTGTTTTTTTCTGCTTCGTTGTTTTTTAGGTATATTTATGGGGTGGGGAGAGTTGAATAGAAACCGTCTAAAGTCAGTATTTTTCAACCTTGGCCACTTGAATAAGTGTGATGAGAGCTAAATAGCTTGAAATAGATCTATACTAGTCTCCTTTTATTTCTTTGTCGGTAAAATATATTGTATTTTTTGGAATATAAGATGCTCCAGAGTATAAGACACACCTTAATTTTTGGGGAGGAAAATAAGAAAAAAAAATTCTGCCTCCTACCAGCATCCATCGGTATTCATCTGGCTAGCGTCCTGTCAGTGTGTGAGAGAGTTGAGGGCTGTTTGGAAACTGAAACAGTATTTGCTCTGTGAGCAACAAGGAAGCAGACAGCAAGGAGCCTGGGCGTGGCTTAGTTCTGCAGCTCTGAGTCTGTGCTAAAGTTGCAAACTAATCTGCTGCTTAAAACTGAAACTCCTCTCCTCTGCTTGGGTTTTGCTTGTATTTACTACCACGTTGGAAAACCTGCTTTTGGTATTGTATATTTACTTCATGTGTTATATTATACATATATAAAGATAAGTTATTGCTGAATCAGTTACTTGTGTGTGCTTTCTGGATGTGATTGCTGCTGCAAACTCTTGAGTCCTTGCAGCAAATAGCAAACAGCCAGGTCAGCTTCAGCACATTATTGCAGCCTGATTCAGCATGAGCAGCTGATTGGTGGGTGGATCGGCCTCCCCGAATACCCTCAATCAGCTGTTCCAGGTTGCAGGGATTGCCACAGACCATCACCACCTCAACGCCTCGTGTTTTTGGCTACATTTGGTGTGTAGGACGCACCCAAATTTTCACCCTTTTTAATTGGGGGGGGGAGTGCATCTTATACTAACACAAAAATAGTTTTGTCGTGAAAACGACTGCCTGCAAAGGCTCCTGGATTGGGGCTGAAAGGCGAAAGCGGAAGCAGTATGCTGTTGCCCTGATAGGCTGGTCTCACCAGAAAAAAAAAAAAAACACTTGAAGAAGTGTGGACTTCAACTCCCAGAATTCCCCAGCCAGCCGGGGAATTCTGGGAGTTGAAGTCCGCACATCTGAAAGTTGCCAAGGTTACGAAACATTGATTTAAGACAGTTTCCATTGACCTCTCCCCACCCATAAAAGCATCTAAAATTACAACGAAGCAGAACCCCCCACCACCACCACATTTCAAATTAGCAAAAGGGACCTGATAACAGATTCTAGGAAACCTCTCCATCCAAACATGGTTAGCTGGGGAATTCTGGGAGTTGAAGTCCCCACCTCTGAAAGTTGCCAAGGTTGAGAAACTTGGATCCTAAGTGATTCTTCCCAACAATTCTTCTTCTTGTGCGTGAACATTTGTGACCTCCGACTTCAAAGAAATATGAAAAGGGGCTGTTATTACTGTATTTGTCGCTCCATAAGACGCACCGGCAAAGGGATGCAGTGGCTCTGGCTAAGACGCTGGGCTTGTCGATGGAAAGGTTGGCAGTTCAGCGGTTCGAATCCCTAGTGCCACGTAATGGGGTGAGCTCCCGTTCCTTGTCCCAGCTTCTGCCAACCTAGCAGTTCGAAAGCATGTAAAAAAAACGCAAGTAGAAAAATAGGGACCACCTTTGGTGGGAAGGTAAGAGCGTTCCGTGCGCCTTTTGCGTTCAGTCATGCTGGCCACATGACCACGGAGACGTCCTCGGACAGCGCTGGCTCTTTGGCTTTGAAACGGAGATGAGCACCGCCCCTAGAGTTGAGAACGACTAGCACATCTGTGCGAGGGGAACCTTTAACCTTTACCTAAGAGGCATCTGACCATAAGGCACACTCTGGTTTTTGTCCCCGTTTTCGGCTTCCGCGAAAGTCCTGCGCTTAACTGAAGGGTGGGGGCTGGTGGGGATGGGCGGGGCTTCGGCATTATTCGCTCCATAAGACGCGAAGACATTTTCCACCCACTTTTGGGAGACAAAAAAGTGCGTCTCATGGAGCGAAAAATACGGTGTGTTTCTTGATGTCGAACCTCTTGCCAGATTTTTTTTTTTTTTTCCACATTTTATTTCCACATTTTATTTATGTAACCTGTTTTGGGTACAGCTTGTTCTTTTTACCAGGATCTTTCCACGTGTTTTTTTGTTTTTCCTTATTGCTATCTGAATATGAATTTAATAATCTTCATTAATATTTTTGCACTGCCAACTTCCAGAGGCGCTCCTGATAATTTACAAAATATAAGTCTTGCGCTCCATAGTACAGGAAAATTTTTATCAAGGGCAGCATATTTTAGCCCTTGGAAGAGAGACTGGCATGGTTTTCCTATATACAGTTTATACAGGGAGGGACTCGGTGGCTCAGTGGCTAAGACGCTGAGCTTGTCGATCAAAAGGTCGGCAGTTCAGCAGTTCGAATCCCTAGCACCGCGTAACGGGGTGAGCTCCCGTGACTTCTCCCAGCTTCTGCCAACCTAGCAGTTCGAAAGCACGTAAAAAATGCAAAGTAGAAAAAATAGGGACCCCCTTTGGTGGGAAGGTAAGAGCGTTCCATACGCCTTTGGCATTGAGTCATGCCGGCCACATGACCACGGAGACGTCTTCGGACAGCGCTGGCTCTTCGGCTTTGAAACGGAGATGAGCACCGCCCCCTAGAGTCGGGAACGACTAGCACATACGTGCGAGGGGAACCTTTACCTTCACCTTTACAGGGAGTCCTGGACTTACATCAGTTCATTGAGTGACCTTTCAAAGTTAGAACGGCACTGAAAAAAGTGACGTACGACTGTTTTTCACACTTACAACCATTGGAAGTCACATGATCAAAATTCGGACACTTGGCAACTGACTCGTATTTATGACGGTTGCGACCTTCTGACAAGCAAAGTCAGTGGGGGAAGCCAGATTCACTTAACAACCGTGTGACTAACTTAACGACTGCATTGATTCACTGTATCAAGAAAGGTCGTAAAATGGGGCAAAATTCACTTAATAACCGTCTCTCCTTCCCAAAAGTGGAAATTTTGGGACCAATTGTGGCCGTAAGTCGAGGACTTACCTGTATAGTGTCCGTGAATTCTTTTTTTTGCACCTATCATTTTTGCCATTTGTTTTTGCATCCTGAAGGAAACTGCTCTGAAGGGAGATGGGTGGGTTAGGAGATAGATGGATGGATGGATGATTGAATAAATGAATAAAATAAAATTTTGTACGATGGATCAAGATCCCTGCTTAAATCTTCTGGCAGATGTGTTAACGTTTCATTTGGATTTTTTTTCTACCTTTTCATTGACAAGTCTCTTATTTTTCTTTTCCGCAGCCAGGGATCAGTCTCTCTTCTCTGAGCCAAAATTCCCAACGGAATGTTTCTTCCTGACCCTCCATGCCCACCACCTCTCCATCTTACCGAGTTGCCGTCGATACATCCGTCGACTCAGAGCCATCCGGGAGCTGAACAGGTTACCAAAAATAATAATAATTTAAAAAATGCATCATTAGTCATTTTGGGGAGTTTGAGCAAGACTTTGGCAAGAAAAGGGATAGCGGTATGTTCCCATATCTCAGGGCTGCCCCAAAGAAGAGGGGGTCAAGCTATTCTTCAAAGCACCTGAGGGCAGGACAAAGAAGCAATGGGTGGAAATTAATCAAGGAGAGAAGCAACTTAGAACTAAGGAGAAATTTCCTGACAGTGAGAACAATTAACCAGTGGAACAACTGGCCTCCAGAAGTTATGGCGCTCCATCACTGGTGGTTTTTAAGAAGAGACTGGACAGCCAACTCTTCGTAGTGATATATTCTAAGGCTCTCCTGCTTGAGCAGGGGGTTGGACTAGAAGACCTCCAAGGTCCCTTCCGATTCTTGTTGTTAGTTGCAAAGTCGTGTCCGACCCATCGCGACTCCATGGACCACGTTCCTCCGGGCCATCCTGTCCTCTACCATCCTCCGGAGTCCCTTTAAGCTCACGCCGACTGCTTCAGTGACTCCATCCAGCCACCTCGTTCCCTGCCGTCCCCTTCTTCTTTTGCCCTCCATCGTTCCCAGCATTCGGCTCTTCTCCAGGGAGTCCTTCCTTCTCATTGGGTGGCCAAAGGATTTGAGTTTCCTCTTCAGGATCTGGCCTTCTAAAGAGCAGCCAGGGTTGATCTCCTCTAGGACTGACCGGTTGGATGGCCTTGCAGTCCAAGGGACTCGCGGGAGTCTTCTCCAGCACCAACTCTTGTTATTCTGTAAAAATAAAGTTGAGGTGCAGAGGGAGATAGTCTAAGCTAGTCTTTCTCAGCCTCAGCCGCTTCAAGATGGGTGGATTCCAACTCCAGAATTCCCTGTGCTGGTGGGTGGAATTCTGGGAGTTGAAGTCCACCCCTTTTAAAGCGGCTGAGGTGGAGAAAAGGCCCTTCTAGGAAAACCCTCCGGGTGGGTCAATGGGTCAATCAAATTTCCACTCTGCTCTTCTTCGCTCCCTGCCAGGCCATTAGCTTGCCAAGCTTCCTAGAACAGCAAGCCCAGCTGGAGCTCCTGGCTAGGAGAGTCACCTTGCTGGAAGCTATCATCTGGCCAGGTAATGCGCAATGCGAGGGCCTGCCTTCCCTCCCTCCCCCACCCCCAAATTCCTCTTCTTCCAACGCATGGTGCATTATTCGCCAGACGCCACGATCCCAGAGATCTCCCCGGCACCTGCCGTGAGGTTTTTCCGCCTTCTACCTCCACTCCAAAACGTTGCATGCATGCCATCTCTGCAACAACCAGCCTTTTCCTGTTGTGTCCATCACCTTCCTGAACACGTTTTGTTTTTTAAGTCCTAGCATGGTTTGGCCTGTCTTGACTCCCCTGCTGGTGGAAGGGGTGGGTGGGGGTGGATATATCCTCTGGCTGCAGGATTGGAGGGGAAAATCGGAAAATTCCACCTCCGCGGTATCAAAACAAATGAGATTTGGATCGCCGGAGCTGTAAAATTCCCGATTCTTTGCACCTGCTCAGTGGCATCTCCGACTAGCCTGCATGCACCGAAAAATAAAGCTTGCACCCGGCCAGCAGAGGTGGAATTCACAATCCATTTTTTGGGGGTGGGGGGTAGGTGTCCAGTTCCACGGAGACTGCAGCTCTCGTAATTCCAAAGGCCAAATTGGCCGGATGGTTCTGGGAATTGTAGTTCCAGTGCGCCTAGGGAGTACGGGAGATCGCAGTGATAAGAGAGACAGCGTAGGGAGGTGTCCCTCTGTGAAGTTATCTGGAAAAGATAGGGAGATGCACGGGAATGGCTTCGAATCGGCTCCTCGTCTTCCAATAGCAGACCTCTCTGGAACAGAACTGCTCCTGGAGATGGAGGTTCAGTTTACCTCCGATGGGATCGGTCTCCTTCCCAGGCTCCTCCCCACATCCCTCGGCGCCTGGCTGGAAATGACACCTCCGTTGGGTGTTCGGGCTAAATGAGTTTTTCTATCGAGGCACCTGGTCTACCCCAACATGTGGGAGGGAGCATACTGCATCCCTTTCGCCTTTCAACTCCAATCCAGGAGCCCTCAAGCAGTCGCATTCACGACAAACCATTTTATACCAAATTTATATTTTGCTGATAAAGAAATAAAGGGAGACTAGTATAGATCTATTTCAAGCTATTTTAGCTCTCATCAGCTAGCCATACCCTTTCTTGGATTCGAACCTGATAGAAAAACAATCTCTCCCCTGACTCAAGCTGATAAAGGGAGGAGAACTTGTGGCTCAGAGGTTAATACAACTGCCTAATATGCAGGCAGACCAAGTTGGAATCTGAGTAAGGGTATGGCTAGCTGATGAGAGCTAAATAGCTTGAAATAGATCTACATAATTCTCTCTTGGCTCAGAGGTTAATACAAGTGCCTAATATGCAGGCAGCCCAAGTTGGAATCCGAGTAAGGGTATGGCTAGCTGATGAGAGCTAAATAGCTTGAAATAGATCTACACAATTCTCTCTTGGCTCAGAGGTTAATACAAGTGCCTAATATGCAGGCAGACCAAGTTGGAATCCGAGTAAGGGTATGGCTAGCTGATGAGAGCTAAATAGCTTGAAATAGATCTATACTAGTCTCCCTTTATTTCTTGGACTCCTGAGCTGTACTCCTGCAAAGATTTTATTTTGCCAAATTGCACATTATTCAAAACGGCCCAAACGACGCATTGGAGGATGTTGCTCTTAAAAAATGTGCGGCGTTGGAGTTGAGCCATTTCCAAAATTGGGAAGGGGGAGAGAGAGAGAGAAGAGGATCTAGGGGGACACCTCAAAACCCTAGCCGGTGCATTTTCACACCCATCTCAAAAGCCGCAAGGAAAAGGATAAGGCATGTATAGAGAGAGACAAGTGCACCCTAGAATTTCGCAGTTCCTGCAACTAAAGCACCATTGACGTTCCTTCCTCCGTTGGCAGAACCAGATCTGGGATCCGGCTTTGATCCGGCCGCTACGGGGGTCCCCGGCGACGATCGGAGTAAGCGCAGCGAGTATTTGGCAGCCTACCGGGTGAACTCGCACCGTCTTTCTCAGAAGGGAGAGGAGAGGAAGAAATGAAGGAGACTCTGCCCACCATCAGGCGAAGAAGAGGGCCACGTCTGGATTGAGGGACCTCCGATGTGGAAGGAGCACCGCGGTCCTTTCTCCTCCTCCCTCTGCCTTGGACCGGTGGTGATGGAGACACGGGCTGTTCGATGAACCAAGCTGTGGACAAGGCCCTGCTAACAAATCCTCCGTTGTATTTATTTGTTCTTTTCACACAGGGGGTTTGTGGAACAAATAGGAATAGGTGTTATGGGGGTCTATGCTTATGCGGGGGGGGAGAGTGGGGGTCTCGGCTTGGCTGTCACTCGCCAGAGATTCCCTCCTTGTGGTCAGATTGGGCCGCAATTTGGCAAGGACTGGTCCAACACATCCAGCCTTTTGCCACCTTCTCCTCCGTGGTGGCATCTCTCCGGCACGTCCTCAGAGGCTCCAGATGCCGAGAGGTTGTTTTTTTTTTCTCGCTGCTCATGCTTTGAATTTCAATTTTATCCTTTTTTTTTTTCAAATTTTCTCTTTTTCAATCCAGAAAATAAAACAAAACCCCCGTCATTCTGTATTCCGTAAAGCTGTATTTCTCAATCCTGGGAACTTTTAATTGGGGGGGAGGATTCTGGGAGTCGAAGTCTTAAAAAAGTTCCCAAGGTTGAGAAACACCCCAAATGGATGGAGATGCAGTGGGAATTCAATCCATCTGATCACAGACACACACAGAGCAGCTGAGCAAAATCGGAGCCTCCCCGTCTCTACTCCCTTAGGAGCAGGGATTTCAAAAGTGCTTTTCCGGAGTCAGATGAGAAAGCATCTTCTGGCACTTACTGGATAAACCGACTGATTGTTGCCCAAATTCTGAGGCGTGTCGTGGAAGGAAACCAGAATCTGTAAAAAAAAAGCTTACATGGGATTAAGACGGGAGTCTTTATTGATGATCCCAACTTTTTTGAAATTTGTATACAGTATTTCTTCCTTTATTGTGTTTTTTTGGACAAGATTTGGGGAGGGACGGTGGCGAAGGTGAGGATTGCTGGCTTCTCCTTTCCAGCATCAGTCAACAATTTTGAGGGGCGGGGTGAAGAAAAATATATATATTTTCTTCTGTTTAAAGAACAGCCTTTGTACCCTCTTTGTGCCTGCAGCTGCTTGATCTGCCTTTTTAAAAATTAATGGTATGTTTAACAGGGGGGCATGTTTCCCTGAATGCTTCCCATGGGATCCCCGTGGGCTCATTCTTACACCCCACTTTTTAAACTGGTCTCTGGTTGGGAGCCACCGCTCTGGAATGGGTGGGTAAGCTTGGCAAAAATGGCATTGGGTTCCTGCCGTTTTGCATGCAACTTCGGGGTGGGTTTTTTTCAGGGGTGAAATACTCCCGGTTCGGACCGGATCGCCCGATCCGGTAGCGATGGCGGGTGGTTCGGAGAACAGGTAGCAAAAATCCCCTACCCACCCACCCGCTGCCCAGCTGAGCCGCACGATCATCAGAGGCTTTTTTTTTTTTTTTTACTTTTAAAAGCATTTTTTCTACAACCTCTTCGGCCGAAAAAATGCTTTTAAAAGTTTTTTTAAAAAGCCTCTGATGATCGTGAGGCTCAGTTGGGATCTCAGAGGCTTTGAGGCTTTTAAAAGCATTTTTTTCTGCAACCTCTTAAGGTTGTAGAAAAAATGCTTTTAAAAGTAAAAAAAAAAAAGCTGATGATTGCGCAGCTCAGCTGGGATCGTCAGAACCTTTTAAAAGCATTTTAAGGTTGTAGAAAAAATGCTTTTAGAAGATGAAATAAAAGCCTCTGACGATCCCAGCTGAGCCGCACGATCGTCAGAGGCTTTTTTTTTTAATTTTAAAAATTAAAAAAAGATTGCGTGCCACAGCTGATCAACCCCCCCTCGCGTGCTGTTCTACTTACCGCATACCTCCTCCTGGCGAGCACTGCGCGTGTGCACCTTGCATTTGGTGCATGGTGCGCACTGCATATGCGCAGCCAGCAAACCGGTAGTAAACCGGTTCAGATTTCACCACTGTTTTTTGTTTTTGTGCTCCATTTATTCATATCCGGAGTGGAAAAAAGGAAATTGCAAGCAGACAAATCGTAATTCTGGTCTGGAAAGGCATCCTCTGCGCCCGCCTTCTGCCCCTCAATTCCTCGCTGCCTTCTAGCAATCCAGGTAGGCCCAGGTGAACCTGCGTCTCCCGCAGAGAGTTTGAAGCCGGTCTGCAGCCTTTCCGTGCTCTTGCAAAACCAGCTTCAGTTCTGCCACGCAGCCCTCTGTCTTGTGGCACTCCGTTTCTGCCCGGTCTGGCCGGAGTTCTGCCCCCAATGCCATCTCATGGGTTGGGGATTGACTGAGGTTGTGTGAGAGGAGGCGCTGAGCGGGTCTCGGCCGTCACCACCGCTTGGTCCCCCACGTGGCCTCCGATCAGTAGAGAGACGGCGCCTTCCACGTGGCCGGTGGCTGCCAGAGCGATCACGGCCTCTTCCGTGGCGAAGCCCATCTTCTGCAGCTGCTGGAGCCTGGGAAGAGGGACGAAGAGAAGGCGGCAGCGTTGGCATCAGAGGCCGGACAGTCACGCCCACAAAACAAGAACAATGGGTGGCGTTACTTCGGAAATAAAACTTCTTTATGGGTTTACCTACAGACAGAATCTTGCCAGAGTAAAACAACTGCGTTCATCCCAACGGTGTTGTTTTTTTTCAAGAGGCAACTGGGCTTTCTGGTTTTTCTTTGAAGGCGTTTCGCTTCTCCTCCAAGGAGCTTCTTCAGCTCTGAAGAAGAACTGAACTGAGAACTTGAAGAAGCTTCCTGGAGGAGAAGGGAAACGTCTTCAAAGAAAAATCAGAAAATCCAGTGGCCTCTTGAAAAAAAAAAGCACCTTTGACCTGGATGACTGAGAATCTCCATAAACTGTGTGCGTATAACTATAAATATACAGGTAGTCCTCAATTTACAACAGTTCATTTAGTGAACTGTTTGAAGTTACGACAGCACGGGGAAAAAAATGACTTGGGGCCGTTTTTCACCCTTACGACCGTTGCAGGGTCACGGGATCCAAAATCACGGAGGCAGAAGTCTCCTTTCGTTTGTTCCCCGGAATCTTGTGCTTTACAGATACATTGCTCCTACGGCTGGAGGTTCTACTCGGCTCTGCCCACCCGATTTCTCCCAAGGACTTACCGGAGGGAAGAGACGGAAGATTTGAGCAGCTTCACTTCCTCTTCATTTCTGTCTTGCAGAGAAGCCCGGATTCCCGCTTCTATTAGCTCTTCTTCCGTTGGGAAATTTGGGAGAGAGAAGTAAGGGGAGCCCAAAGCCTGGCCGGGATCTGAGAAGAGGTGCTGGGACGTAGGAGGAAACGGCAGCTGGGTTACCCTTTCATCAGTCCAGGATGGAGGAGGGGGCGGAATCTGGATGGCAACCGTCCCTGCCAAGTCGGGTGAAAACGTCTCCTGCGCAGGAATTCTGGAAGACGGAAGAAAACGGGTCGAAATCAGTGAGATTGGAACAATTGTCTATTAGATAGCAATAGCAAATAGACTTATATCCCGCTTCACAGTGCTTTCCAGCCCTCTCTAAGCGGTTTACAGAGTCGGCCTCTTGCCTCCCCAACAATCTGGGTCCTCATTTTACCAACCTCGGAAGGACAGAAGGCTGAGTCAACCTTGAGCCTGGTGAGATTCAAACACCTGGCAGTCTGCAGAGTTAGCCTGCAATACTCCTTTCTAACTACTGCACAGGAAGGAAAGGAAGGAAGGAAGGAAGGAAAGGAAGGAAGGAAGGAAGGAAGGAAGGAAGGAAGGAAGGAAGAACAGCAATAGCCTTCAGACTTTACAGCTCCTCTCTAAGCGGTTTACAGAGTCAGCCTCTTGCCCCCCAACAATCTGGGTCCTCATTTTACCCACCTCGGAAGGACGGAAGGCTGAGTCAACCTTGAGCCTGGTGAGATTCGAACCGCCAAACTGCAGCTAACAGTCATCTGAAGTAGCCTGCAGTGCTGCACTCTAACCACTGCGCCACCTCGGCTTTAGATTGTGAACTGGGCAACTTGAGATGGTGACCACACCGATCTACCATCCCTCACCTCCCTGGCTAGCAAGGGGTGTTGGGAGTTGTAGTTCGGCAGCCATGGAAAGCAAAATTGACGTCATTCCAAAATACCTTTCCTTTATGTCCGTAGCTGGGAGGGTGCCGGTGGCGAAGGGCCTGATCGAGTGAGAAAAAACCCTTCTGAGGTAGCTCCAGCCTGCAATCCTCTTCTGCAGCCTTGCCAGGCGCCTCTTGGACGATCTACCAGCACCATCTGAGGCATTAAGGACAATCGTAGAATCATCAAATCGTCATAGCCCTGGAAGGGACTTCCGAGGTCCTCTAGTCAACTCTAGTATTTTTCCCCCCTTTACCCAAAAAAAAATCATCAAAAAATCTTTTTAAAACCTGGGAGGGCTGCCAATGATTTGGAGGCCACATGAGTCCTAGAAGTGGCCCCCGTCTCGTCCCCTATCCCACCCTCGGAGCCTGTTCTGGCCTAGGCGCCCTTAAAAAGCAGGAAGCTTTTTGGTCCCGGCAAAACCTCTTTTATTTAGACGACTGTGAATTCCTTTCACTCACCGTCAGCAAGGCCTGTCCAAACAGTCTTTCAAAGGAATATTTATCAACACAGACCTTATCTCGCTTGGACAGCTGCCAAGTAACTAGTTTCCAAACGCAGTACAAGGCAAAACTTGGCACAGAGTCTCTCAGAGTCACGAACGAATTGTTTCCTGCAAAAGCCCCCTCCCCGTTCGCTCCTCTTTTGTTTCCTAGGGGAGGGGGCCAATCTCCTCCAAGGTGTGGCTTTACTCCCAAGTCGACCCTGATTTCTGAATTGTTCTCGTCTTCTGGCAGCTCTGTGCATGCGCACACTGGGAACAGGCTCCAGCTGTTCCTCTGCCTCACTGCCATCTAACTCCCTCTCTGCCTCCGTCGCAGAGCCCTCGTCTGAGCTTTCCCCAATCCCCAGGACTGGCCCGTGTTCCTCCCCAACCTCCTCACTATCCGACTCTGTTGTTGCCGGCGGGCCACAACACTGCCCACATGTTTGGAAAGGATACAGGCTAGTAGTCCCGTGAGCAACCCGGAGACGTTCAGGAGGAAGGGAGAACGCGGGGACAGGATCTCCCCGAGGCCGAACAGCAATCCTGCCAGCAGAGCCACGGGCAGCCACCCCAAGCGCTTTCCGTGGCAGCCCAGCAGAGCCAGGTGGACAGGGATGTAGCTGCTGACGGTGGCCTGCGGTTCAACTCCCCAGAGTCCAGCCAGGAACACGTAGACCAGGGCTGAAGCGACAGCAGAGACCGTGTTGGTCCGGAGGTAGCCAAGGGCCCCTTGCTGAAGCTCGAGGTGCCAGCTCAGCAGTGGGAAGAAGAGCAAGCTGGTGGCCAGGAGGGAGCCGTTGGCATGGCCCAGGCAGTACGTCACCAGGCGGAAGGCTGCAAGAGAAGAGACCTCGTGCTGTTAACGCCGCTTCCTTTTCTGTCGTTTATAACACCCCATTTGAGGTGGCCCCTGAAATAGATCGTGATTAATTAGATCGATTGATCAGTCAATCAGAATAGAGCGAGAAGGGACCTTGGAGGTCTTCTAGTCCAACCCCCTATTCAAGGAGGAGACCCTATACCAATTTACACAAATGGCTGTCTAGTCTCTTCTTAAAAGCCTCCAGTGATGAAGCACCTACAACTCCTGGTGGCAAGCTGTTCCACTGTCTAATTGTCCTCACTGTTAGGAAGTTTCTCCTTAATTCCAGGTTGCTTCTCTCCTTGAGTAGTTTCCATCCGTTGCTTCTTGTCCTGCCTTCTGGTGCTTTGGAAAATAAGGTGACCCCCTCTTCTTTGTGGCAGCCCCTCAAATACTGGAGCACTGCTATCATGTCCCCCCTAGTCCTTCTTCTCTCTAAACTAGCCATACCCAATTCCTGCAACCGTTCTTCGTAGGTTTTAGTCTCCGGGCCCTTCAATCATTCTAGTTGCTTTTCTTTGCGCTTTTTCCCAAAGTCTCAACATCGTTTTTTGTAACGTGGTGACCAAAACTGGATGCCGTATTCCAGTTATGGCCTTACTAAGGATTTACAAAGCAGTACTAATACTGATTTTGATTCTATGCCACGGTCTATACCACCAAGGATTGTATTAGCTTTTTCGGCTGCCCGTGCTTAAGTGATCGTCCACTGGGGACTCCCAAGGTCCCTCTCGCAGTGACTGGTTTTGAGCCAGATCTCGCCTAACCTGTACTTTTTAAGCCGTCGCTTAAAAATGCAGAAGCACGAAATAAATCTGTAAAATTCCAGATGGAATTGCTAAGTATTTGTAATCGGGATGTCCAACCTGGGCACCTTCAAGACCTGTGGACTTCAATGCCCATAATTCCCCAGCCAGGCAGCCACTTGTTGTGGTCCACCAGCAGCCTGCAGAGTCGGCTAGTGAGGAGGCTGGGGAGGACCATGGACCAGTCCTGGAGTCTGGGGAAGGCCCGGACGAGAGCTCTGCGTCGGAGGCAGAGATGGGGCCAGGGCTATCTGGGAGTGATGCGCGCAGACTCCGGAGCCCCCAGAGTTGGACAGCAGAGAGGCAGAGGAATAGGAGGAACCTGTTCCCAGTGCGCACATGCGCAGAGCTGCCAGAAGGCGCAGTTAAAGCAAAAGGAACGACTCGGGAGTAAGGCCAGGTGATGATTGGCCCTCTCCCATAAGGCTTAAAACAGCAGCAAAGGCTCTTGGGCTCTTTGTAGGAAAGCAACATTGCTAAATCTGTTTCCAGTCAGCATCTCTCGTTTCTGAACTTTGTGGGGCTTTGCCAAGAAAGGCCTTTGGCAGGATGCCAAAGAAGATAAAGATTTGTGATAAACCCGAAAGACTTTTTCTGAAGGACTTGTTTTTTGGAATTAATTTGGACTAAGCTGGGAATGAAGTCATTCTCAGCCGTTATAATAAAATAGGTTTGTTTGGGACTAATTGTAATGACTAAGTGAGCCTAGGTCACACCACCAGTCAACTACGAGACACCCCATCGTCCCTAACTGGCTGTAATTCAAGGCATGTAATTCTCGGAGCTAGGAAACTCGTCTTAATACAAGAGAAGTTTCAAAGATGGAGACCAACCTTGCAAAGGGCTACTTAGCATGCTGGGTGATAAGACCAAATGTTCTCCGACGCCGGTCACCCAGACGACAGTGAGGAGCAGCATCAAGACAGAGGAAGCGACGGGGAGATGCCGGACCCATCTCAGCTTTGGGATGAACATGCCCCCTAGGAGAAGAGAGGGCTGTTATTAACCAGGACCCAGATTGTTGGAGGGCAAGAGGCTGACTCTGTAAACCTCTTAGAGAGGAGTTGTACAAGCACTGTAAAGCAGTATATAAGTCTAAGTGCTATTGCCCTTCCTTCCTTCCTTCCTGTTAGATTGCAGTATTGCAGGCTAATTCTGCCCACTGCCAGCAGTTCGATTCTGACCGGCTCAAGGTTGACTCAGCCTTCCGTCCTTCCGAGGTGGGTAAAATGAGGACCCAGATTGTTGAGGGACAAGAGGCTGACTCTGCAAACCGCTTAGAGAGGGCTGTAAAAGCACCATGAAGCCTTAAGTGCTAAGTGCTATCTGGTTTGCAGGTTTATTTTTAAGCCAATTGGCTCTCCTCGCTTTGTGAAGCTCTTGTATGTGTCTTTGAAGCTCTTCTGGATCTCGGGAGAACACCGAGATCATCAAATGTCAACCCACATATCAAAGGAGAATCGAGCATAGCGATTACGCGTCGGTGCGAGCGCATCATTTTAGCAAAATTGCATTGTTTGCCCGCTGCACAGTTTGCTAATCTCCAAAAAATAAAAATAAAAATAAATGAATTAGAGTGGGATCCATTTAGGACTTACGGGGGATCCGCAGGAATGGAAGACGAGCAGAAACGCACCGGAGCGTAAATTTGAATTAATTCAGTTCACTCTGTACGTTGTCTTGATGCTAACAAGCAAAATGAAATTTAAAAAAAAATCACATCAGGCGCCAACAGCGAAGACTCTCTGTCCTCTTCCCAACCCAATCGACAGGAGTTGAATCTGACTCAAGAAAGTCTTTATTTACTTCTTAATTTTTTGATTACGTGCCATCAAGTCAACACTGACTTTTAGCAACCGGACGGATAGATTTTTATCATCGCTCGTTTAATTTTTTTTAATAATCCGTGTGGTTTTTCTCAGTAAAAATACAGAAGCGCGTTCTGTGTGGTTTACCGCTGCCTTCTCCCATGTGGTTCTTTGTTGATAACTTTGCGATCTAGTGTAATTCTGGCTGCATGACTTTTTACCTGGGTGAAATGGCGCATTGTTTTTGAACTATGCCACCACAAATAGGTTAACTTCTAGAATGCATCCAAAATCTAGGACCCCATGACTTTTTATGGCAGCTTCCATTTTTACTAGCTGCTGCCGTCACGTGATCATCACTTTAATGTTCTGTGACAGTTTCCCAGCCACTCTAGCAATCCCCAGCTCCTTTACTGACCCAGCAGAAAAAGAACAGCAACAATTTTAAAGGGCCTGGATATTTTTTATAGCTTTATGTGCCCTTTCTCTGGTGCACAAACACACACATGTATCTACAGAATAATACGGAATAACAGAGTTGGAAGGGACATCGGACCTTTTATCACACAGATAACTATTCAGAGGCTTGCCAACTGACATGTACTTATGACGATTGCAGCGTCCCGGAAGGGGGGCAAGTCACGAGATCCACTTTTGCGACCGACCAACATGCGAAGTCAATGGAGGAAGCTGCATTCATTTAACAGCCGTGTTGCTAACTTAACAAACGGCAGTGTGATTCGCTGAACGACTGGCGGCAAGGAAGGAAGGTCACAGAGCGGGGAGGAGGGGGGCAAAAACTCACTCAACCCGAAGTCTCATTTAGCAACGGAAAGGTGTTGGGCTCTGTCTTGTCCGTTTTAAATCGAGGACTCGCCGTAAAATGTGAAAGGCGACCCTTTTCTTTTGAGTTCCCCGCGTTCAAAAGGAGTTTACCTGCCACAGGGAACAGCCTGGGAAGGAGGACGGCCCCGGTGTTTCTTAGAAAACTGGAATTTTAAAAAAATGGATTTTCAGTGGATATGGGTTTATTTATTATTTATTTATTTATTGGATTTGTATGCCGCCCTTCTCCCGAAGGACTCAGGGTGGCTCACAACAATAAGAAACAGAGAATACAAAAGTTAAAAAGACAAATTAAAACAGAATATCCAATAGATAAGGTTAAACGTGGGAATACCCACGTTTAGAGCCCTGGTGGCGCAGCAGACTAAAGCACTGTTATTAACATCAGCTGCCTGCAATTACTGCAGGTTCGAATCTCGCCAAGGCTCAAGGTTGACTCAGCCTTCCATCCTTTCTAAGGTAGGTAAAATGAGGACCCAGATTGTGGGGGCAATAAGCTGACTTTGTATAAAAACATACAAAAGGATGAAGGCTATTGCTTAACGCATTGTAAGCCGCCCTGAGTCTCCGGAGAAGGACGGCATATAAATCAAATTAAAAATTAAAAAAAATAAATAATAAAAAAAATAAATACCAATTCAAATTTAAGATTTAAGAATTCAAAAAGCTACAAAATCAGTTTAGAGTCAACCCAGGCCCGCCCGTTGGAAGATCCAGGTCTTCCAAGGCCCGGTGGAAGGTTCGGAGGTCGGAGATTATCCGGGTTCTCGTCCCTTTTGCAAATGCTGCCTCTGAGTCACACCGGCCCCCCCTTTCCCCACTCCCCACCACTCACCCCGCCTGCAATTCAAAACCTCTGCAATTGAATTAAAGCCCACCCACTCCCGCTTTTGCAGCTGTCCATTCTATAGGACGCCCCCCACCCCCAAACTCAACAACCTATCCTATTCTGCAGCCCCGGAGGCTTGCAAAAAGAGGGACATTTTCCCACCCCAATTGATTTCACCCTGGGAGAGAGAGAGAGAGAGAGAAAGAGAGAGAGAGAAAGAAAGAGAGAGAGAGAGAAAGAGAGAGAGAGAGAGAAAGAGAGAGAGAGAGAAAGAGAGAGAGAGAGAGAGAGAGAGAGAGGGAACAGCTGCTAAAGGCAGGGGTGGGTGGGATGCCCCGGCCAGTCTGTCTGTCTGGCAACTGATCGGTTTGGAGAAGGCCGGCGTTTGCAGCCATTTTGGACATGCCAGCAGCTTGTCCATGCGGGCACGGCTTGGCACATGTTGGAAAGGGCGAGGGAGCATCTCGAAAGAGGAGGAAGCAGGGTAGAAGATGCTGAGGAGGGGAGGGGGAGGGCTCTCCCTCCCCCCCCACTCCCTTCCAAGTCTAAGCAAGCCAACTCTTTTGCCAGGGCTTGCAGAGACCCTGCTGGACCCCATTCTGGGGGGCACGTGCGCAGGTTGGTATGTGTGTGTGCTTATCTCTTTATTATTATTTTTTTCCTCCACTGAGCCTGGCATTCTCGACTACTTCCTTCTTGGTTTCCTACACCCTCGACGTTCCATTGACCGACTCCGGCAAGTTCATTGGAGTGAGAAGCCGGCCGTCTCTTACAATCTCTTTTAACAAACCACGATTCGGGGATAGATAGATAGATAGATAGATAGATAGATAGATAGATGATAGATAGAGATAGATAGATAGATGATAGATTGATAGATAGAGATAGATGATAGATAGAGATAGATGATAGATATAGATGATAGATAGATGATAGATAGATAGGTAGATAGATAGATAGATGATAGATAGGTAGATAGATAGATGATAGATAGATAGGTAGATAGATGATAGATAGATAGATGATAGATAGATATAGATGATAGATAGATGATAGATTGATAGAGATAGATGATAGATATAGATATAGATAGATAGATAGATAGATACATAGAGATAGATGATAGAGATGATAGACAGACAGACAAACAAACTTTATTGTCATTGTACGTGTATACAGAGTATACCCATACAACGAAATTCACTTAACACCCAAAGACCAGGTCCAACACACATAACAATCCCCAAACACACTCCCACCCACCACAAATTCCCCACCCCTAAACCACCCAAACATCCACACAACAGACCAAGTAATGCTGTCCAACAGCTCACCGATGGTGGCCCTTGAGTTCATTGTTGAGTGCAATTAGAGCTCTGGGATCAAAACTATTTAGAAAACGTGCGGTCCGAGTTTTAATCGTTCTGTATCCACGGAGGATGCTCCCTGATTAAAACCCACCTTCAGAAATTAGTTTCACAAACGAACGAGGAAATGCTAAAAGCAGCCTGCAATTTCCATGAGGAAAGTTAACAGTTCAGGAGAAAAACCACCAAGGAAAAAAATCCTGCCCCTGTCAGAGGAACGTAGAACAAGAGTTCGAAGGGACCTTCGAGGTCATCTAGTCCACCACCCCCTGCTCAAGCAGGAGGCCTTATACCATTTCAGACAAATGGCTGTCCGATCTCTTCTTAAAAGCCCCCAGTGATGGGGCACTGACAACTTCTGGTGGCATGCTGTTCCACTGGTTAATTGATCTCACTGTTAGGAAGTTCTCCGCTCCTTTCGTCAGGACTTGAAGACTTGGCTTTTCAAACAAATAGGCTGAGACTGATTTCGGGCTTTATTATTTACTACTAATTAATTATTTGGATTAAATTATGATTTTATTGTACTTGTTTCTTAACTTGTGTTCGCCGCCCCGAGTCCTTCGGGAGAATGGCGGCATATAAATACATGTAATAAATAAATAAATAAATAAGTTTCTCCTTAATTCCAGGTTGCTTCTCTCCTCAATGAGTTTCCATCGGTTGTTGCTTCTTCTCCTGCCTTCAGGGTGCTTTGGAGAATAACACAGTTGCAAGGGGCCTTGGAGGTCTTCTAGTCCAACCTCCTGCTTTGGCAGGAGGACTGTAAGCATTCCAGACCAGCATTCTCTTCTTCAAAACCTCCAATGATGAAGCACCCACATTTCCTGAAGGCAAGCTGCCCCACAATTAACCAGTGGAACAGCTTGCCACCAGAAGTTATGGGTGCTCCATCACTGGAGGTCTTGAAGAAGAGACTGGACAGCCACTTGTCTGAATATCTGGTATAAGGTCTCCTTGGTTAGTTTCCATCCGTTGTGTTTCTTGTCTTGCTTTTTGGTATTTTGGAGAATAATTTGACATCCCCCTCCTCTTTTTGTGGCAGCCCCTCAAATACTGGAATCCTGCTATCGTGTCACCCCGAGTCCTTCTTTTCTCTAGCTTAACCACAGCCAATTCCTGCAACCGTTCTTCGTGGGTTTTACTCTCCAGGTCCTTCGATCATCTTAGTTGCTCTTCTTTGCACTTTTTATTTTTTTAATTTGATTTATATGCCGCCCTTCTCCGGAGACTCAGGGCGGCTTACAATGCGTTAAGCAACAGCCTTCATCCTTTTGTATATTATATACAAAGTCAGCTTATTGCCCCCACAATCTGGATCCTCATTTTACCTACCTTAGAAAGGATGGAAGGCTGAGTCAACCTTGAGCCTGGTGAGATTCGAACTTGCAGTAATTGCAGACAGCTGGAGTTAAATTACAATGCATTAGTCTGCTGAGCTATCCAGGCTCCTTTTTGCAAAGTCTGCCAACATCAACATTTTTTTTTGCAATGTGGGGAGCAAAACTGGGTGCAGAATCCTAGCTATGGTCCTACTAAGGATTTACAAAGTGTTGTAAATGTGGTGTTGATGGGAATTAAAATCCCAAGCCAGGCACCAAGGAAAGTACCACCTAGTAGTCGACCCCCCTGTCCTTCCCTTTTGTACAAACTGAGCAAAGTACAACCCCTCCCATCATCCACCCCCCCCCCACTCCCCAGCCCAATTCAACCCCATTGGCAGATTCCTTCACGTTTTCCCCTCCTTCCGCCTCTTGAGCGAGGATCCCTAAGAAGAGCCCGGACGGTACCATTCTAACATCTGACGCGGGGGGGATGGTACATCCTAGCGATGGAAAAAAAAAAGAACCGCATTCTCGTTCTCTCGCTGCCTTGGCCCGGCCTTTCTCCTCTGTCTTACCTTTCTCTCTTCTTTGGGGGCCCCTCCCTGGTTTTCTTTCCTGGGGAGGAAAGGCGCGTCCGCGGAGTCTCCCCCCCCTCTTCGCCGCGCGGTGGTAGCGTCCCTTGCTGAGGTGGGAGGGGGAGGAAAGGAGGAGGAGGAAGAAAGGCTCGCGCCTGCGCAGTCGCGGGCTGCAGAAAGACCGGGAGGACGTTAGCGAGGAGGAGGAGGGAGGAAGAAGAAGAAGGAGGCGGAGGCGGAGAGACGACGCTGACGACGCCGAAGCGGGACAACCAGGCAGCGCCGGCGACGACGACGACGACGACAGCAGCGGAGGGGAGCGAGCGAAGCGATGGCGTCGACGGGTGAGGCGAAAACGGGCTGCGGCCTAGTCTGTGAGGGGGGGGGGAGGGGAGGAAACGTAGCGGCCTTGAGGCGCCGGGCGGCGACGAGAAACCGCGGCCTCGGCCCCCTTCTGGAAAATTCCGCCGCTCCCGAGCGCGCGGACGGGGAGCGGAAAGGTCGGCCGGGCGGCCGTTGAGACGGGGGGTGGGTGGGGGAGGGGAAGAGAGAAAGGCGGCGAGGGCGCCGGCGAAGTGCGCAGGCGTGGGGGGCCTTGGCGCGCATGCGCAGCGCGAAGCCGCGCTGCCACCGGGCCTAGTTGCTCCATTGAACGTGGTGGGGGGGGGGGGGGGGGGGAGGAGAGGCGGAGGATGGAACAGCCGCGCCATTCTCCCTCCCTCCCTCCTTCCTTCCCCACCTCTTCTTTTAATGGACTCCAATGGACTGATTTTATTTATTTATTTTATTTTTTCAGGCTTTTTTTAAATTTTAACCTCTGCTGGCGCCCTTCCTGTGCTTCTTTCCTTCCTTCCTTCCCGTTTTTAAAGACTTCCTTCCTCTGATTCTATTTTTTTAAATCTGTGGCTTTCTTTTCTTGCTCTTTTTTGCCTTCCTGCTCTTTTTTTCCCCCCCTTCCAGTGTTTCTCAGCCATTTTAAGACGGCAGTAGGACTACAACTCCCAGAAGGCAGTAGGGCTGCAACTTAAGATGGCGGTAGGACTACAACTCCCAGAATTCCCCGGCCAGCATTGGGAGTTGGAAAGTCCTACCATCTTAAAAAGGGCCGAGGTTGAGAAACACCGCTCTATTTTACAGGTAGTCCTCGACTTAACAACAGTTCATTGAGTGACCGTTCGAGGTGGCGCTGCCAAGAGTGACTGGTGACCGTTTTCCACACTTAGCGACCGTGGCGGCATCCGCCTAGTCAAAATTCAGACCCTTGGCTCTCATATTTATGACGGTTTCCTTTTTGTGACCTTCTGGCAAGCAAATTATTACAAATAATTTATAATTATATATACCGTTATCTCGAATTATAGGAGCCAGATTCACTTATAACGACCATGTTACTAACTCAGCAACTGCACTGATTCAACACCTGTGGCAAGCAAGGTTGTAAAATGTGGCAAAACCTAAGTGTTTCACTTAACAACAGAAATTTTGGCTCAATTGTCATAGGTCATGGACTACCTGTATTAGAATTACACTCTGGTTTAGGTCGTCCACCCCCCCTTTTTTTTTTTTTTAATTTCTCAAATGGAAAAACTGAAATTTGGTTCATAGAGTGACCGGCCTGAAGTCATTGGCTCTTTTTAGGGATTATTCTGCTCTTTCCTGGAGATTCTTACATGGCCTCCCTTTATTTTATCTTCTGTTGCTTTTCCTCTTTGCTCCCAGCTCTGCTTCTGGGCCCCTTTGATCTTCATCTTGTAAACATCGCTGCATGTTTTCTCCCTGCATGAATCTCTTCTGCTGCTGCCTGTCTTTACTCCAGCTTCACAACTTTGAGAAGTGCGAAATTCAACTCCCAGAATTCCCCTAGGCAACATGGTGTATGTGTGGAAGTCCATGCATTTTAAAGTTAGTGAAAGTGGTTTAGACAAGGATTGGATTTTGATTTTACTGCTTTCAGTTTATGCTGGAGCTGACGGATGTTTTACATTCTCCATTATTAAACACGGTTTACAAGAAAAGCAATAAAGCTGTATCTAAAACACAAGACAGCCAACCAAGTTTTTATTTCTTTAGAGGAAACGTGTTAAAATGAAACTTCATTTTTAATCAGGGAAATGCATCGTTCTTAAAATATTCTTAGCAATGCTTTCAGTTTTGTTGCTCCAAGCAACCAATGGTAGCAATTTACATCTAGTTTAGAAAAGTCAAAAGGTATAATTTGCTAAGTTCCAAGGCGGCAGAACATTATTTACTTTTGCTGCAGCTGATAATGGCTTCTACTCTGAAATTTGTCCTGAGGGTATTAAAAAAAGGCAGTTCAAATATATGTGTATAGAGCATAATCCAATCACAACTGCATTTTAAAAGGTCAAGATCAATAGCACATTTGGAAATAAGCCACTGCACCCTATTAGTGAGCAGGTTTATGATCAAGCTGAAAAGTCTGTTAATTCCAGTTGGAGACTTAAGGAGTAAGATTAGTTTCTTTCCTCACTGAGACTTTGAAGTGGTTTGGCTGTTACGCTTGTACAGGTAAAAGAATTATAAGATGCATGTGAAGGTTACCTGGGTAGAACATCTATACACATGTATATTTTAGTAGTGTATGCCAAAAAAGCAGTTTATAATTCTTTAAATAAAGATTCCATTTTGAATGCTGCTAAACCACATAAAATACAATAATATTCCTTATGGAAAATGAAAAGCCAAACAAATTAAACAAATTTAAGTGAAACAGATTTTACTGTTGATTAGAAAATATTTTACCTGATAAAGCAGGAAAAAATATTTGAAAATAGTATGTGTAGAGATGTGGGGTGGGTGTTTTTTTTGCTAGTCATGGCACTGTATTTGCAACTAAGTGAAAAAGAGTTGCTTTGTGGAATGGAAATCATGTTAGTCTGTCACAAAGTTAAATCTTATTTGATCCCATATGATTTTTTTTACCAATGCCTCCCAATTTGAACCCTTGATTTGAAATTGGTTTATAAATCCCAGCTTGTTTTATGTGCCAGATCTAGATAACTGGATCTAGAATCCTGGATTTTCATGCTTCACTGTTGTTGCAAAAATGTAGAGAAAAGGCATTGTGGAAGTTATGTGCCTCCAAGTCTGTTGGCCATATTTTTTTCATGGCTAGTTTCTCCCCAAATAGGAAGAAAAATACAATCACATTCTTCCTTCTCAAAATCAAGCATATAGAAAGTACCGCTTATGTGAATGCAAGTTGGCAGGATATTGGATAGACGCATAGCCACAAAACATTATAAAATTGATAACAATTCTCAAGCACATGCTTTACAAAAAATTCTGGAAGAAAACAATCTGCATATATCAAAACTAAACACAACACCCAAATTGACTACCCAAGATACAGAAGAATTTGGTTTTGTTCGTTGAACATTTTAGCTTCACATTAAAAACCAAAATTTACAGTCATTGCATTATATAAATTGCATTTTGCTTCTGTAATGGTAATTTTTTTTAATCGGTCCATCTTCTGATGACTATTAGCACATAAGAACTCTCAGGAGTTCTTAACACCTTTACTCTGAAATGAAAAAACTGGATTTTAGATAGAGTTGGTTTTATAGTTATTTTTTTTCCCCTTACTCTTGGTTTTGTCTTCTTACCATCTGCAGATTATAGTACCTACAGTCAAGCAGCTGCCCAGCAGGGGTGAGTTTTTCTATATATAGTAATGTTACATAAAAAAAAAACTTGGATTAGAGTTCTAAAGTAGTATCAGTTTTGTCATTGCAAAGTTGCATTAAGACCTTTGCTTTTACTTTACATGAGAAGTGATGCATTTTGCTGCTTTTTAAACCAAGTTCTTTTGTTTTATAAACCTTCCAATATTTCCTCTTCTTTTTATAGCTACACTGCATATGCGGCTCAACCAACTCAAGGATATGCACAGACTACCCAGGTAAAATACAACCACCAGGATAACAATAGAAACTCTGACCAGTTTGAAGCTTTAACAGATTTTCTAGGATTAAAAAAACAAGCTGTTAAATTGGAAAGTGCCTACCTCGTCTCTATTCACAAAAATACCCCCTTGTATTGGCGGTCTTAGGAAAGAAAATGCCAAAAGCCCATGAAAAATGTTGGCAAGCTTTCTGTAAAAGCTACTTCAATCTCTCCTGATTTTTTATGTAAATGTACATTTTATATCTAAATACGTTTCTAATTGTGGGTGCTACAGGTAGTCCTTACTACAGTTCACTTAGTGACTTTTCAAAGTTACAATGGCACTGAAAAATATGATTTAGGACCGTTTTTCACACTTACGACCGTTGCAGCATCCCCCCCCCCCCCCCGTCACGTGATCAAAATTCAGACGCTTGGCAACTGGCTCATATGACGGTTGCAGCATCCCGGGGTCATGTGATCCCCTTTCAAGGCCGCCTGACAAGCAGAGTCAGTGGGAAAGCCACCAGATTCACTTAACAACCAGGTTACTAATTTAACAGCTGCAGTGATTCGCTTAAACAATTGTGGCATCATAAAATGGGGCAAAATTCACTAAAATGTCTCACTTTAGCAACAGAAATTTGGGGCTCCATGGTGGTCGTAAATCGAGGACTACCCAGATTACAAATAAACATTTAAAAGGTTTTAAATGTTTTAACAAAATACTTTTAAAAAAAAAAGTTAAAAATGACAATGGCATTGAAAACTGGATACTAAAATTCACTGAAATATCCCCCAAAGAGCAACAAACTTAGCGGTAACATTTAATCTCTCTCCTGTATTTGCCATTTTGCCTCTTTGAAACCCTGGCAGGAATAAGGGGGTTAGCTACCTCTGAATAGATGATGCTATGCTCTGTATAGTGAGGCATTTATATCTTTGAAGCTCCATTTCCATACATGCTTCTTGGGAGTCTTCTTTAAAATGTGCAGATCGTGTTAGAAATAAAAATACCAAAGTTGTTTATACAGGCTTGGCTCTTAATTGCTGTTTACAAGCAAGAGAAATGTTTTTGCATAGTACTTAAGTATTTTAAAGAAACACAGCGTACTGCAGACGTCCCAAAGATGCTTCTTGCAAAAGACAACTGGACTTTTTGGGGTGGGGGGGTGGGATTGGGGTTTCCTTTGAAAACATTTTACTTCTCGTCCAAGAAGCTTCTTCGGTTTTAAGTAAGCTTCTTGGATGAGGAAGAAAATGTTTTTAAAGGAAGAAAAAAACCAAAGTCCAATGGTCTTTTGCAAAAAGCACTTCGGGACACCCATGACCTGGATGATTGAGAATCTCCATAAATATTACACTGCGGATTCGAGAGAATATGAGGAGATTTTAGGTGGAGAAAAGTAAGAACAGATCTCTTCACTTTTGCTAAATGTTAGTTCTGGGCTAAACGAAATCATCAACTTGAACTATCTGCTAATGCACCATAATCGATTTTTCCTCTGTAACGTCGTCCTGGCAAAAGAGAATGAATTGGACTTACGGGGGAAGCCCTGAATATTTCTTGGACCACCAACTATATACCTGTTTCTCTTTTTCCCTTTGGGTCTCGTGGGTATTGGTAATGATACCAGTGATGAGATGAGATGATTCAGTTGTTCCGACTGACTTGGGGATGTTTCAAAATAGGAACTGGGATGATGTAACCTCTGACATGCCCCTACATACGAATTACAATCAGAAAAAGTAAGATTCTCACATCTGTTCTTGAGCGGCATAGTTTTTAATATGTTTCTTGTTGCCAGCAGGCCTACGGACAGCAAAGCTATGGCACGTATGGGCAACCCACGGATGCCAACTACACCCAGGCTCAGACCACAGCTACCTACGGGCAGACTGCATATGCGGGTTCTTACGGGCAGCCTCCAACTGGTGAGCACGTCTGTCTTCAGTCACTCTTGTTCTGGTAGTCCTTGACTTACAACAGTTGTTTAGTGACCGTTTGAACAAAGGCACTGAAAAAAATGACTGTTGAAGCATATCCCTGACCAAAATTCAGACGCTTGATAGCTGACTCATATTTATGACAGGTGCAGTGTCCAGGGCTCATGTGAACCCCTTTAGTGACCTGATGAGCAAAGTCGACGGAGAAGCCTAATTGACTTAACAGTAGCAATGGCACTTAGACTTCGATCTCGCTTCACAGCCCCCTCTAAGAGGTTTACAGAATCGGCCCATCGCCCCCAACAATCTGGGTCCTCGTTTTACCGACCTCGGAAGGATGGAAGGCTGAGTCAATAGCAACAGCACTTAGGCTTATAGACCGCTTTACAGTGTTTTATAGCCCTCTCTAAGCGGTTTACAGAGTCAGGATCTTTCCCCCCAACAATCTTGAGTCCTCAACCACTTTACTAACTTAACAACTGCAGTGATTCACTTAACAACGGTGGGGAAAAAATTACTTCACTGTCTCACTTGGCAACAAAAATGTGGGGCTAGATTGTGGTCGTAAGTCGAGGACTGCCTGTATTTATTTATTTGGGATGGGGGAGAGAATGATGCCGCGGATCAATTGGCTGTTCAAGAAAGATTGGGGCTACTAGTCCTCACCTAATTGAGACGCTTCTGAAGGCTAGCAAAAAAGTGGCTCCTTGCGAATGAAACATTCCTGGGTGTTCTGAGATGCTAGAACTTTTTTTTTTCCCCCTCTCGTTTCGAGGAAGTTAGCTTAAAGCGTGCTTGCGTGTTCTGCTGAAATGCCCTCTACTTTTTGTCTCGTGCTTTCCACAGTAGAAGGGACCAGCACAGGTTTGAATCTCCTGCTCAATTTTGCATGGGAAGTGCCGTCCATTTTGTCTAAACGTTATGGTGTTCACCTTTTAGGAGTTTTTTTTTATCTTGGCAGCAAAAACCTGCAGCGTGGTCGTAAAAATGCCCATTTGACGGTTAGAAAGGCCACGTTTCTATAAAAAGGGCCATTAATCAGTTCTTTCTGGCTGCTGATAAAATTGTTTAAAAAAAAAAAAAAAAAAAACCTCAGCTGTGGGAAAAGACCATTTGGCTTAACTCTGCTTTTCTAGTTTCCTAAAGGGTGAGCAACATAATAAGGCATCTTTCAGTTGTTAACATCCCTGCACGTTTCATTTGACTGATCGCTCCTCCAAAATGTGTTACCGACATTCAATGTTTTGTAAATGTTCTGTAGAATACTTTGCTTGCACGGTTAAAAATCAGGATCCGAATGCTTCATGTTGATATTGCAAGAAGATTGCCTTTGAAGGATGGGCAGAAACCCGTTGAAATTTCGGTGCATGCAAAAACACTGTGAAAAAAACTTCTACTCCCTTCCTAAGTAGCATGGTTTCCCCCCCTCCTCCCTCGTGCTCGAAACCTGCGTTATCATGGTTAGGGCTTTTAAAGAGAAAGAGGGCAGAAGTTTCAACAATGCAATTTATGACGGAAGCACTTCAGAATAAGAGTCGGAAGGGACCTTGGGGGTCTTCTACTCCAACTCTAAACCATTTCAGACAAATGGTTGCCCAGTCTCTTCTTAAAAGCCTCCAGTGTTGCAGCACCCACAACTAGTAGACCAGGGCCCAGAGGTTGGGGACCCCTGTTCTAGTCCCCCCCACTCACCAAGGCAGGAAACTCTATTCCATTCTGATACAAATGGTTGTCCAGTCTATTCTTGAAAACCTCCAGCGATGGAGGATCCCACAACTCCAGGAAGGAAGCTCTTCCATTGAGAGACCTTTCTTCTCCCACTCCCCACAGTTGGGCAATTAACTGTACACTACATTTTGTCCCATGTTTGGGTTGAATTCAGCAAGCACTTCCTGTCTCGTTTTCAGCATTCTGGCACATTTCCTCCGCTGTAATACATTGCATGGTTCTCTCTTGTTTTCACATAAAATATGAACAATTTTTTAAAAAAATCTTTTAATTGTGGAAATGAGGAAAGTTTATATCATTGTTTCTCCGCTGGTTACGTCGAAATGAAACTAGTGATAGCTCACAAGGCAATTCTTTAGTAATTAGATTTTAAAAGCTGGGTTGTATAGTTAACTAGCACTACCTGTGGTCTGTTAGGTAGCAGTAGGAGAAAATACACCGCCTTAAATAGCTTTTTATACATTGGATGGCCTTCCCCTAAATGGTTTTCAGCTCCCTGGATTCCTCGACGGTTGTCAATCCTGATTAGGGAATCCTCTGGTCTTTAATTTAAGACTTCCTTGATCTCAGATTAAGGTTATTTCAGGTGCCATAATATCTATGTTTGTACAGGTAGTCCTCGACTTAACAACCTTTTGTTTAGTGACGTTACAAATGGACTAAGTGACTTAGGACCGTTTTTCACACTTAACGACCGTTGCAGCATCCCCTTGGTCACATGATCAAAATTCAGCTGCTTGGCAACTGACTCGGATTTACGACAATTGTGGTGTCCCGGAGTCAGGCGAACACCTTTTGCGGCCTTCCGAAAAGCAGAGTCAAAAGGGAAGCCAGATTCACTTAACCGTGTTACTAACTTAACCACTTGCAGGGATTCATTTAACAATGGCGGCCAAAAAAAAAAAAAGGTTTTAAAAGGGGGCGAATGTTACTTAAGAAATGTCTCGCTTAGCAACAGAACTTCTGGGGGGCACAAGTCGGGGACTGCACGTACAATTTGACAGATAACAAGAAGCACCACGGTTTTACTTTCGCTTCCTTTCCAGGTTATACCACCCCAGCTGCCCCTCAGGCTTACAGCCAGCCCGTCCAAGGGTACGGCACCGCTGCTTATGACACCACAACTGCCACTGTTACTACCACACAGGCTTCCTATGCCGCCCCATCTGCTTATGGCACTCAGCCAGCTTATCCTACCTATGGACAGCAGCCAACAAGTACTACGGCTGCGAGGTAAAGTACGGATTTGGTTGTGTTGTGTTGTTTTTTTTTAAAGTTCATATCGTGCCTCCGTTCTGCTTTTTTTCCTTGGATTGCAAACGCTCCCCCGAATTACTTCCCTGAATTATTCTCCAGTCTTCTCTGCCCCTTCTCCATTAAAGCATAAAGTGAAGCAGATCGGATATAAAATTCACTCTTGTGTTGGGTGGAAAGATATCTGTACTCTGGATTTGTTTTAAAAAAATAGTTTTGCCTCGGTGATCGGGGCAGATTGTTGTCTTGGTTCAAGGCCAGTTTCTAAGAGCTACAGACATGCCTCCCTCCAACACACACACAGAATGAGAGAGCACAGGTAGTCCTCGTGGCCGTTCGAACAAAATGACTCACGGCCGTTTTTCACACTTGTGACCGTTGCAGCATCCCCACGGTCAACGTGATGAAAATTCAAACGCTTGGCAAGCGGTTCACATTTATGACGTTTGCAGGGTCACCTAATCCCCTTTTGCAACCTTCTGGCAAGCAAAGTCAATGGGGAAGCCAGATTCACTAAACAACCAAGACAAGGTTGTAAAAAATGGTAAAGGTTCCCCTCGCACATATGTGCTAGTTGTTCCTGACTCTAGGGGGCGGTGCTCATCTCTGTTTCTAAGCTGAAGAGCCAGCGCTGTCCAAAGATGTCTCCGTGGTCGTGTGGCTGGCATGACTCAACGCCAAAGGCGCACCGAACGCTGTTCCCTTCCCACCAAAGGGGGTCCCTATTTTTCTACTTGCATTTTTTTTTACGTGCTTTCGAACTGCTAGGTTGGCAGAAGCTGGGACAAGTCACGGGAGCTCACCCCGTTATGCAGCATTAGGGATTCGAACTGCCGACCTTTTGATAGGCAAGCTCAGCATCTTAGCCACTAAGCCACTGTGTCCCTTAGGAAGGTTGTAGAATGGGGCAAAACTCACTTAATAACTGTCTCGCTTAGCAACAGAAATTGGCTCCATTGGGGTCATAAGCCGAGAACTACCTGTAGCCTTTTGGATGGTGGTTTTGCAGAATTTATGTTTTCTCTCCATATATATATATATATTAAAAGGAGACTTTGAAACTGAAGAATTATAAAAAGAGGTAACAATTGCATTGTGTAAGAGGAAAGTGCTTTTTTCTTTTTCTTTTTTACAGCTTGTTAACATGACGTGATAGCCAGTTCTTCATCTGAAAAGCAGGGAAGAAGGCTTTGTATCAAATACGCTTCTGTTTCTTGATTTCCCCATTTAGACCCCAGGATGGCAGCAAACCTTCAGACACCACCCAAGCTCAGTCTAGTTCAACAGGCTACAGTCAACCGAGCCTAGGATATGGCCAGAGTAACTACAGTTATCAGGTTCCTGGAAGTTACCCAATGCAGCCGGTGACTGCACCTCCAGCCTACCCACCAACTAGGTGAGCCTTCACAAATCCTGTCCTCCCTGTCTCCGTGTTTGGTTTCTGCTGGGTGAAACGTCCTACAATTGGAGGATGGCCTTTTTAACAAGAAGCATTGAAGCTGATGTCCTTTCTGAAGTTTATACTATCTTGGGCCTTTGGTGGCCCAAAATTTAAATGTCTTGGCATCCCAGATCATGTCTTGGATAGTGATACTGTGTTTTTTATAGCCAGCTAGTTCAAAAACCCAACAACAAACACAGTGGAACATAACGAAGGGGTTCTTTTTAGACTCCGATCCCCTCCTGCCCCACCCACACGTAAGCAATTAATAAGTTGAATTGCACTTTTATTAGGGCTATAACCAAGGCTATCTAATTGTGGGTTTCAATATCCAGGAGATGTAAGCATATTCTGTCTAGTAATTAAGACACCAGATTAGATAGCAGGAGACCATGAGTTTAAATCCCATTTTAGCGATGAAAGCCAGCTTGGGTGACTTCGGGCCAGTCACTCTCTCTCCGTCCAATCTACCTCACAGGGTTGTTGCTGCAGGGAAAATAGAAGGAAAGCGTGTTGGATATGTTCACCATCTTACTTGTGAAAATAATAAAAGGCAGGATACAAATAACTTGATAGGTGGATAAAAATGCCAAATTCAGGCTGACTCTGCGATGAGTCATAATAATAATAACTTTATTCCACCCCTGGCTTTTTAACTTCAAGGGAGACAATCTTGTGAACATTTCACTTTTTGGACTGTGCTGGTGCGGTTAGAGAAAAATCAATCTTTAGCAAGGACAAATATTTAAAAAAAGAGTAATGTTACGCAGATTGTAATGGGGACCCATGATTGGGATTATTTGAATACTCCATATCACTGATGGTGAACTGCTAATAACATACATCCTTCAGCTATGAAAATGCCTCAGACATTATTTTGATAAGGCTGTCAGTTAATGAAGAGCAGCTGACAGCTTGGGCTAAACACTCAAAAGAGCCATTTGGATCCATTTCCCACAGAAAAGAAAACACCGGGAGCCACAAAACCCTTTTGACATCTAAAATGAAGATAACACCGCATATATCATTTTTTTACCTTTATGCTATGTATAAAAAAAACGATAGCGTGTTGCATTTATGAAATCAGTGAATTGCTGCAGAGAAAACCAATTTTTTATTTCTGCATGCAACAAAAACATTTTGAACTCCGGGAAAAAAAAGATGGGTTGAAAAGCTCAATAAATCATGTGCCAGCAGGTGTCGTTCGTTGGCAGTTGTGACACATATTTTAAATGACAGAGAGCCACAGCAGAGGGATGAAAGAGCCACACGTGGCTCCAGAGCTGTGGGTTGCAGACCTCTGTCCTAGGCCGTCTCTTAAGTCCCCTTCAAAAACTTTTCTCCTGTTTTAACCAGTAGCTGCTTTCCTGTGCTTTGCCATGTCTTTTCAGCTACTCTTCCTCTCAACCAAGTAGTTACGACCAGAGCACTTACTCTCAGCAGAGCACCTACGGGCAACAGACTGGCTATGGCCAACAGAGTAGCTATGGGCAACAAAGCAGCTATGGGCAGCAGCCCCCCACCAGCTACCCACCTCCCACTGGATCTTACAGCCAGGCACCAAGCCAGTACAGCCAGCAGAGCAGCAGCTATGGGCAGCCAAGTAAGTAATCCCCTCCTCTCTCTCTTCCTCCCCCTCCCCCGGCCTTTCAGTCCAAGGTCCCCATTTCTGATACAAAAGTAGTCCTTGTCTTACGACCACAGTTGAGCCCAACATTTCTGCAGCTAGGCAAGAGAATTGTAAAAAAAATTGCCTCATTTTACAACTTTACCATAGGAGCCTGGTGGCACAGTGGACTAAGTGCTGTTAAAGTAGCACTTAGTTGCCAGCTGCCTGCAATTACTGCGAGTTCAAATGTCACCAGGCTCAAGGTTGACTCAGCCTTCCATCCTTCCGAGGTGGGTAAAATGAGGACCCGGATTGTGGGGGCAATAAGCTGACTTTGTATAAAAAAAAGAACACCGCTTAGGGGTGGGGGGCGAAAGCCCTACTAAGCAGGTATATACAAAAGTATGAAGGCTATTGCTTAACACATTGTAAGCCGCCCTGAGTCTACGGAGAAGGGTGGCATATATAAATCGAACTAATAAATAAATAATAAATAGTTGTTAAGTTAGTAAGGTGGTTGTTAAGTGAATCTGGTTTCTCTATTGGCTTTGCATATCAAAGTGGCAAACCATGACCCCCCCACCCTGGACACTGCAACCGTCATAAGTACATGCCAGTTGCCAAGCCTCCTCCAAATTTTGATCACGCTGAAACAGTCATAAGTGCGAAAAGCAGCCTTCCGTCGCTTTTTTTCCCCAGCGCCGTTATCACTTCGAAACGAGTTAGGCCATTAAAACGGAACGGTTGTAAGCCAAGGACTATTTCAGTTAACGGTGAATTCTGAACGGTTCCGTTCCTCTCTTAAAAAAGAGATCTCTCTTCTCCTGCCAGACCCAACTGCGAATCTTCTTGCTTGCCTTTTAAATCCAGCGTTCCAGTTGTTTAGGCTTGTTCATGCCATATCGCTGATAGAGAAACGTAAAATAGCTTGTCAGATTTCCGCTAGAGGTTTCGGTCTCGCCCATCCAGGGAGACCCTTCCCGTTCTCTGTGGAGTTTTCTGCCCCTTGGAGAGGAGCCTCTCGTGTAGTTCGAACTTACACACCGTAGTAGCGAAAGGGATGCTTTTTTTAATTGGGATTGTTGCCAAGCCTTAGCATCAAGCCAGCCGGTAGAGTTTGCAGAGTCTTACCTGTCGTTCCGCAACCGTCTCGGGGGTCTTGCCGGGGCCCGCGGCCCGCGTCCTTAACGCTGTGTGAATTGTTCCTTAGGTTCATTCCGCCAAGACCATCCCAGCAACATGGGTGTGTATGGCCAAGACTCTGGAGGCTTTTCTGGCCCAGGAGAAAGCCGGAGCTTGAGCGGCCCTGAAAGCAGGGGCAGGGGCAGAGGGGGATTTGATCGTGGAGGCGTGAGCAGAGGTGGGCGGGGAGGAGGAGGCCGCGGCGGAATGGGGTAAGAGTAAACCTTTTTCTTCCTTCCTTCCTCTCGTTAATTTGATTTTAAACCCTTGTAGTGGTGGTGTGCGGCAGCGAGAAGGGCTGAAAGATGCCAGAGCAAAATGGCTTTTCTTTTTTTTCTCTCTCTCTCTTCCCATGGAGGAGTGGTTATTAATAGCAAGGAGCTGTTACCGCTCATTAATCCATGGAACAATCTCCTTAAGGGGGAAAACTAGGCGCAGGATGTATTTTCCCTGCGGCGATGATGGGGAGCCGGGTCACGAGAGGGGATTCGGGTGTCTAAATTAATGAAACTTTCAGCTGCCTTCCACGCGGAACAGAGGGGGGGGGCGGGGAAACGTCCTCTGTGGGTCGAACACACACATACCCCCCTCTTTTCCAAGGGTGTCTGCATGTTAAGCCTTTGGTCCTGGCTGGTTTTTGTTTTGCTGTTTCAGGTATATGTACTAAGGTGCCCCCCCCCACCCCCCCACTGCTTTTTTGGTATAAATCCTTTCCCTTGTTCTAGCTCTGTTTGCTCTTGGCCATAGCTCCTTGAGTTAGTGGCAGAGCTGCTCCGTGGAAGCCTCGGCCACTTTCTCAAGCCCCACAATGGCTCTGGCGTGGCCATTGCCTTCGTGCCAGGCTTCGTGCCAGCCATGCCCTTAAAACGGTCCCAACGAAGCCCAGAGATCTTGAGTCCGGCTCCCCAAAGGAGCTTCTCAGGTATCCCTAAATCAAGTTCCCGGCCATTTCCAGCGATGGCGGGATCTGATTTGGGAAGCTCGTTCCGTCCGTTCTCGTTGCCCCGTTGAGTGATCGATTGATTTAAGGTTAAAAGAAAAAAAAGACAAGGTGGTCGATCGAGGGTCTTTTGATAACTGAAGGTGCCGTGTTTTTTTTTTTTGTGTGTGTGTCTGTGTGTGTTCTACCCACATATGCCACGCTACGCAGAGGGGTCCACTCGGCAAACCGATCGGACTAAGGGACCACGGGCGGGCGGGAAGGAAAAGGGTCCCCGTTGTTATCATGCCTAATGTGACACGCATCTTCCCGGCTCCGTTAGGTCTGATAACGCGCATCAACCAAAGCGCCCCTCTGCATAGTTGAAGCACCGACAAGTCCAAATGGTTTGAAATCTTTATATTGCTCAGTCAATCGCTTGATTTTTATGACTTCAAAACCAGCTCGTTTAATGACCCCTTAACCCTGCTGAAGAAAAATAACCTTTTTGGATTGGCTTGAATGGAAAAGGGCTCCGTAGTTTTTATATGTAAACGATTTCATTTGTTGGGTGTTCCTAGATGTGTTTTAAAAGTAAGACGTAGACACTTGAAATGGCCATCACCACATCTCTCTCCTCCCCTTCCCCCCCTCCCCCTTTTCTTTTAAATCTCAAACTCACCTCTAGCCTTTTTTAACCACAGGGCATCCCAGTGTCTTCAGGTTCATTCAGGTGCCCAAAATGCCACTTTAAAATTGAAAATTGGAAAGGGAGGGGGTTGCCCTTGTTATTGGCAGTAGGAAAACCGCACCTCAAAGCTGGCCCGGTGATGTCAGCCAGCGCCAGGGTTGGTGCGGGGGTCCCTCGCTCCCGGTGTGGTGATGCATTTCAGTCTCTATCCTGCAAGGTAAGGAGCCCGATGTTCTTAACATGATGCCCTTTTTTTTTTCACTGCCTCAGTATTTTTATATTTTCACTGGCTGTTAAACATGGAAACTTTTTAACATGCTTTGTCGCATTTATATGCTACAGGTTACAAAGTGAGATCCTTGTATACACTTCAGTACTTAAAAAGTACCCGTATTCAGTACTCAGCCGGCAGCATAATGAAAAGTGGGACTAGACACGGTGTCCATATGGAGAGGAAAAATATATATATATATATATATACCTAGAATATTTTTAAACCAAATGTGTACAATTGTATAAATGGAAACCTTCTGTAACTTTGGTAACTGCATATAGTATTTCATGTTACTTAGAGGGGAGGTGTGATAACTTTAGAATTGTGTAAAATTAAAAGTGTAAAACATCTGTTAAAAAGGGAAGGATTACATATATGGTGTGTACTTTGGGAACGAAGGAAAGCTGCATGCATCAGCTTGGAATTGTGTTTATTAAATCTTTTATGGGTTAATGATGCAATACTTGCTCACCGTTAACTGTTCTTCTCCCTCCTTTTTTCTTAAATTCACATTCTTGTCCTTTTAAAAATCATCATCATCACCCCATAAATGAGGCTCTTATTTGCCCACAAATTGTATTTCATGATTCTAATGCCCTGCGTTAAAAACACAGATACGGATCTTCGTGGAGTTGCGATACGCAAAGTTGCATCCTGAGACCTCAGAATATGGTGTAATTCTGTAAGACCTCCTTTCACAGAGACTGTTAAATCCAGTAGAGACCTGAATGTATGGTTTAATGACTTGTCAACTGCATTGTATTCTAGGGTTTGCTGTCTTTTTTTTTGTTTGTTGTTTTCCCTTTCCTTTTCTTTTTCAACTGTTAATGTTAAAAGGTTTCCCCATCCAGGAATTTTGGATGATTCTCCCTCTTGCAAGAGGCTGAGGATGCAACTTTACGTTCGCAAAACAAGGAGGGAGTTGACGAGAGAGGCTAATGCCCAATGCGCCTGTATGCAAGTATTATTTTTAAAAAAAAACCAAAACAAAACAAAAGAATGGAAAAAGATTTTCCCCCCCAACGTTTCCGCTTCCTACCGGTAAGCCAAGTATTGCATGGTTAACGTCATTAGCCGTGGAACAGTCCCACTGCTCAAATGTGGTATATCCAGCCCCAGACCAAACCAAAGGTGTGCGTTACGTGTGTAAAGGAGATTTGAACAAGCTGCCCTGAAGAAAGGCCTAGTGACGAGATGACAGAGACAGACAGACAGACAGATGCAATGTTTTGGATATGTTAGCCAGTGCCCTTCTCCCAGTGAGCCCCAGAGGCTCCAAGCGGGACTGGCTTTTTTAAAGGGAAGGCCTTCATTTCTTCGTTTATCCCCCCAGCAGCGCTGGAGAGCGAGGTGGCTTCAGTAAGCCTGGTGGTAAGTTTTTGAGCAATTACAATGGGATCGTGTTTTAAAAAAAAAAATTTAAATAAAAAAATATGCAGCCAGAAAAAAAAAATTAAAATAATAAAATAATAATAACATAAATTTAAATTTGTTAGCTTCCTAAACGGTGAAAAATGCCCTATGCAACAGAACTTTTAATGGGTACTGCCGGCAATGCCTTCATGGGTCTTTTAGAAGGTTTTAACCTACGGTGACAGAACAAAAGGGTGTTTTAAAAAAAAATGAAGGGTTGATGAGGTGTTGAGAGAAACTAATTGGGGAAGGAAATCACTTTTTTCAGAGGCTTTGGCGTTTTAATAAGTAGTAAACCTTGGTAAAACTTGGCAACACTGATTTGACCCAAGAAAAAGCCCCACCCCCCCACCCCCCCTTCAGCCACCGTGTGTGTAATAATACCAGGTGATGGTTTTAGAAGGCTGCTAAAACTTGCAAGCCGCAAAAAAAAAAAGCATAAAGGGTGTTGCATTGCAAAATGGTTTTTTTGTTTTTTTGTTTTTGCAGTGCGGTCAATTCGAGTTTTAACCCACGCCATCTAATCGCGGTTGTAAATAGGTAGTTGTGTGTTTTGTTGGGTAGCAGAGCTCGCGGGGCAGGTACTAACGATGGCTTCTGTGGTTTCTTTTTCCCCCCTTCCGGACGACAGGACACATGGATGACGTGGCAGATCTCGATTTAGGTAAACTTTGGAAGTCGCTGCTTAAAATGTTAAAGAGGTTCCTCTATCATCATTGGGTTACCCTCCGCAAAGCAGCCATAAATCTCTCCCATCTGCATCCATTCATCTTTTGCTGAAAGGAGAAGGCAGCATTTGGACAAATGAGGGGAAAACTCTTTCTTGAAGGCCAAAATGGGCAGATCAGCCTGTTCCTGCCCTGGAAAGCAGTTGGGTCTCTTTTAGTGCAGGGCTCCCAGTGCACCAATCCGTGCCAGAAAGCAGGCCTGCACAAAATTCCATATCTATCTATCTATCTATCTATCTATCTATCTCCTCTCTCCTCTCTCTCTCTCTCTCTCTCTCTCTCTCTCTCTCTCTCTCTCTCTCCACTTGACTTCACTCTGCTGGCTGAAGTTAGATTAAGCAGCCTTGCTATTTTGAGAGAGAGAGAGATGATAGATGATAGATGATAAAAGATGGATGGATAGGAAATAGATGGATAGATGATAAGATGGATGGATGGATGGATAGATAGATAGCTAGATAGATGATAGATAGAAGATGATTGATAAATAGAAGATAGATGGTAGGTATAGATAGATGATAGATGATTAGATAGATGATTGATAAATAGAAGATAGATAGATGGTAGGTATAGCTAGGTAGATAGATGATAGATAGAAGATAGATGATTAGATAGAAGATAGATGATTGATAAATAGAAGATAGATGGTAGGTATAGATAGGTAGAAGATAGATGATTAGAAGGTAGGTAGGTAGGTAGATCCATATCCTTGGATGTCCTCTCCAGCTCTTATAAATCAGAGTAGCAACTTTAATACAGTAACCCTGGGTTTAAAAATTGAAGGACAGGGTTGCCCGGGAACAGGTCCTTGGAAAAGCAGGAAGTAGCATACAGTCATTCTACCTAGATATTTGGAGTGACCCGTGATTTGTGTTTACAGGCCCACCTCTAGACCTGGATGATGACCTTGATAACAGTTCCGTGTACGTACAGGGCCTGACTGACAATGTGACTCTAGAGGATCTGACTGACTTCTTCAAACAGTGTGGCATTGTTAAGGTGAATGTCAAATCCGATCCCGAACAGTGTCTATTAAAAAGTTTGAAACACAGTGAATATCGTGACCCATAATATATGTGTATGTGTATATATAATATATATATAATATACACACACACACACACACGCATACGTATATATGTAGGAATGAAAGGCAGGTTTGGCTCCCATAAATGCCTGTTTCTGGATCTTTTGCTTAAAAATTGGAGCTTGTGGTGATGTGCTACATAGAGATAGGCAAACTGTGGAGCTCAATGAGTTTCAAATTACAGTCTCCCGCACCCCCCTGACATCATTCCGTTGTCCTTAATTTGCAACTTAAACTTTCAGCGCTGTGAAAATGTTCTTTTCTGTCATCCTTCCCCTCCCTCCCTCCCTCCCTCGTTCCCCAGATGAACAAAAGAACTGGACAACCCATGATCACAATCTATCTTGACAAAGATACCGGGAAGCCCAAAGGAGATGCAACTGTCTGCTATGACGACCCACCCACCGCCAAAGCAGCCGTAGAGTGGCTCGATGGTGAGTTTAGTTACAACACAAACGTTGCCTGTCACTCACTCCGAAGGGTTGAATCGGGAGTTTGCAGAAATTCAGCTTAAGGAAGGGACGGTCAAAGCAAGACTTGGGTTATGCTTTGATTTCTGCAAACGGGCAGTCGGAAAGTGTGAACAATTCAACCTTGACCAAAAGGCTGTTTTGCCTCAGAGAGAGAGGAAGGTAGTATAGAGCAGTGGTCCCCAACCTTTTTATCGCCGCGGCCCGCTGAGCGCGCGCAGGGGTGGGGGCACGGCCCAGGAGCTTTTGCGCACGGCCCATTGCGCATGGCCCAGGAGCCTTTGCGCTGCAGCGTTCATGTCCCCCGGCCGCTGTGCGGCCCGGTGCCAGGTACTCCACGGCCCGGCACCGGTCCGCGGACCGGGGGTTGGGGACCACTGGTATAGAGGTCTGCTGAAGCCTCAGAAATGGCTACTGCTGTTGGGAGCTGCCTGCCCCTCTCTTGGGTTTAGCTTTGCCAAATCTAATAGTGCTTTTTTCCAACTTGGGGAAGGATTGGAAACTTCTGGCCTGGGACAGCTAAGAGGAGGGACCCTTCCTTTCCCTGTTTTTTTCTCAATTGAGGAAGACACGGGACAGCTCTTGCCAATTCAGACATTTTACAGATCCCCTCCGATGCTCTTTAGATGAGCCTTGCATGAATGTTGCAGCTTCGGCTGGTTGGTGGTCCTTCCTTCCCATCCATTATGCTTTTTTCAACCTCAGCAGCTTCCAGCTGTGTTTATTTATTTATTTATTTATTTGTTTAAATTTCTATACCGCCCTTCTCCAATGTAGGACTCAGGGCGGTGTGTGCACTTCAACTCCCAGAATTTTCTCCCCCACCCCCACCCCCCAAGCCATCCTCAGAACTTCACCCAGGCTGAGAAATACTGGGTTGGGGAATCGAGTCCAGCCCCTGTTCCCCATTCCTCCTCCTTAGCATTTAGACTTATATACCGCTTCACAGCCCTCTCTAAGCGGTTTTACAGAGTCAGCCTCTTGCCCCCAACAATCTGGGTCCTCATTTTACTGACCTCAGAAGGATGGCAAGCTGAGTCAATCTTGAGCCGGTGAGATTCGAATTGCCAGCAGAAGTAGCCTGCAGCCCTGCGCTCTTAACCACTGCGCCACCATAGAATAGGATAGGATAGGATAGAATAGAATAGAATAGAATAGAATAGAATAGAATAGAATAGAATAGAATTCTTTATTGGCCAAGTGTGATTGGACGCACAAGGAATTTGTCTTTGGTGCATATGCTCTCAGTATACATAAAAGACAAGATACATTTGTCAAGAATCATAAGGTACAACAATTAATGATAGTCATAGGGAACAAATAAGCAATCAGGAAACAATATCAATATAAATCGTAAGGATACCCTAAACAAGGTACAGTCATAAGTGGGAGGAGATGGGGGATGGGAACGATGAGAAGATTTATAGTAATGCAGACTTATCCATGGCAAGACAAACCTGCCTTAAATTTGACTAGCTCCTCCGTCCTCCTCCTCCACCGGCCGGCCGTGTTACGAGCCCCTCAGGCACAGTTTTGATGACCCAAGTGAACGTTTTCTTCTTCGTTTCAGGGAAGGAGTTCCAAGGCAGCAAACTGAAGGTCTCCATGGCTCGGAAGAAGCTGCCTCTGAACAGCATGCGAGGAGGCATGCTGCCCCGGGAACCTCGAGGCATGCCTCCTCCTCTCCGTGGAGGTAACTTTGGGGCATCAGGCAAACACAAAGCGGCAGGTGATGCCCCACCAGGGAGGGGTGGAGTGTCCTTGGACTCACCTGCTGTTGTCTTTTCAGGTCCAGGAGGCCCTGGTGGCCCCGGTGGACCAATGGGCCGTATGGGCAGCCGAGGTGGTGACCGGGGCGGTGGCTTTGCTCCGAGAGGGCCCCGAGGATCCCGAGGAAACCCTTCGGGTGGTGGAAATGTCCAGCACCGAGCTGGAGACTGGCAGTGCCCAAATCCGTAAGTCACACGTTGGTTCTTTCCTCCCTAACACAGTCTCATCCCTCTATGGGGCTTCCCTGTTGAAAAGGGCCGAGAATAAAAGCAGGAAACACCTCCACCTCCCCCTTTTCAGGATCATTGATCCCTATACGGTATATTTACCACCCACCTTTTGAGTGCCTCTGCCCACCTGGGCAGAATATACAAGTAGTCCTCGACTTAACAGCAGTTCATTTAGTGACCGTCCGAAATTACGACAGCACTGGGGGAAAAAAAGACCAGTTTTTTTTCCCCACTTAACATCCATTGCAGCATCCCCACAGTCACGGGATCGAAATTCACCTCCTTGGCAACCGATTCGTATTTCTGACGGTCGCACTGTCCCGCGCAATCCCCTTTTTGGACAGACAAAAGTCTATGAGGAAGCCAGTTCCACTTAACGGACCATGTTTTAACTAATTTAAAAACCCTAAATGGTGGCGAGAAAAGTCGGGGGGGGGGGAAAGGACTCAAAATTCCACGTGACGGACGTCTCCCTTAACCACAGAAATTGTTGAGCTCAGTTTGCGGCCTTTTTAAGTCGAGGACTACCTGTCGTTCATTTTCATCTGCCTTTACCTGCCCAAGTTCCTAGCCGCCCTCCTGCTTTCCTAGAAAAATCAACGGATGTTGTACATTCTCTGCAGCGGCCCCCCTTGCAAAGATGGGGCCCTGCTCATCCTTTGCTCTTGCCTGAGAGCGTGCGTACGGGGGCTTTGATTGTGTGGATCAGGCCAGTTTCTCTCCCCCACCCCTCCCCACCCCCTCCTAATGGAACCCTGGTCCTTTCTAGGGGCTGCGGAAACCAGAACTTTGCTTGGAGAACAGAATGCAACCAGTGCAAGGCTCCGAAGCCCGAAGGTTTCCTCCCGCCACCTTTCCCGCCTCCAGGTATGCCCCTACTGTCTGTGAGCTGGGGTGGGAGTCGGACTATTTTGACACTGATCTCTGCTTATGTGATATTCACAAGGTCCTGGATTCTTGCTTGGAAAGCCGCTGCCACTTAGAGGGCTCATATACGGGACCAATAGTGGTAAGGGTACTTATACAGGTGGTATCTTTTTCCTTCGTTTGTGTATAAAACGCTTCCAAGGAGGAGTTGGTTCCACGCAGTGTTAGGGACAGTAGGCAGGCAGTTGGAAGCACGGCCCGTGGGCGCATGCTCGGACAGGAGCCCAGGTAGAGAGGAAGCTGCTCTGATATTTTGGGGAAGGGGGGGTGGGTGTTTTCCGCAAGAACTACCCCAGGTTCTATGGGGCCCAGAATAACCTCAGTGGCTTCCCATTTCCTGTATGTCGATACAAGGCACTTGTATCTGTGGCTTCTGACGATTTAAGATCCCTTATAGCAGGGTGTCGAACTCGAGGCTTGGGAGCCTGATCTGGCCTACGGGTTGCTTAGATCTGACCTGTGGGGCTGCCCTGGAAACACCGAAGGACCAGCTCGTGGTGCCTCTGCCAGCAAAAAATGAGCTCGCTAGGGCTGTGTGCCCCCTGGCCCTGTTTTCCCTGGCAGAGGGTTGCAGGAGGCTGACCCAGCCAAAAACAAAAGTTTCAGAGCCTGTTTTCACTGGCAGAGCCCTAGGCCACCACAGGAGCCCCCCACAACACGAGTGACATCATGCTAGCCATGCCCAACCCCCCCTCCAGGCCAAACAGAATCTTGATGCGGCCCTCAACGAAATCAAGTTTGGCACCCCTGCCTTATAGCAATAGCACTTAGATTCATAGACCGCTTCGCAGCCCTCTCTAAGAAGTTTACAGAGTCAGCCTCTTGGGGGGGCCCCACCCAACCATCTGGGTCTCCTCATTTTACCGACCTCAGAAGGACGGAAGGCTTGAGTCACCCTTGACCTGGTCAGGATCGAACCCCTGGCGGTCCGCAAAAGTAGCTTGCAGCACTGCACTCTTAACCCCTGCGCCAGCACGGCTGATTGCAGGGGGGGTGTCTCCAAACCCGGCCAACTTGTGGGACTTCAACTCCCAGAATTCCTCAGCCAGACAATGGGTCCTCCCACCTATTTTGTAATCTTCCTTGCAGTCACACGATTATATCCGGGGAGCTCTTGGCAACCGAACTGATTTGTGATGGTTGCAGCTTCTTCCTTGGGAGGGGGGGGTCGGGGGTCATAAGATTACCGTTTGTGATCTTTCCAGTAGGTGAGAAACCTACAAGGGAAGCTTAATGACCATGTGCAGTGATTCACTTAACACAACTAAGTGGCCTAAAGAGGTCTTCATTGAGGCACAAATGCACTTAACAGTACCTTGCTTAGCAAGGGAAGTTCCAGTCCCAATGACGGTAGCCCCGTTTTGCGGCAGTGACCCCCCCGGACGGGCTCTGGGCAGCCCACATGCTGTTCCCATCGTGTCTCCCAGTCCTTGCAAGCTGCTTACAAAGGCCCCGTTAGGGCTGACGGAATTAAAAGGATATTTTTAAATCCTTTTTTTTTTTTTCACTGCCCTGCTTTTGCTTTCTGGCAAACTTTGCCTGGCTCTCCAGGTTTTCTCACTCTTCAGTGTTTTAAGATTCCTTGGGGAAGGCAAGCCAGTTGGGTGCTGGGCACAGTCTGTCTCGACCGAATCACCTGTTTTGTTCTCCCCCTCCCACTTCGGTCACTCCCAAGCCCTCGGGGGTCAGCCCCAACTTGCCTCCGAACTCTCTTTAAATGTTAGGCTTAAAAAGGCCCAGAAGATAACCGGACGTTGGTTTATTTCAAGTAACTGATGCCTTAAATACTAGATATTTTGACCTTTGCAAGATCTCTTGAATAGCATGGTGGTGATGCCAAGACTTATTTCGGTCCTTCGATGCTTGCTCCTTCAATCTGTCCAGTCCCACATAACAGCCAAGCCCCCCTGGCTCGGCCTGCATGTCATATGCCCTCCGTTGTGGCCTTCGCCCACATCCCTGTGTATGAAGCGGCCCTCCCCATCTCCCAAAATAAATCTCCACTCCGATGAAAATGCCTGCTGCACCAGTTTCTTTCTCCCTGGACGAGTCAACAAAACTGTCCCCCTTGCCCTGGAAATAAGGATCTCTACCACGTCAGAGGATGCCATAACCTCTGCCGCCTGTTGACTTCTCTTTTGAGGCTCTGCAGACTACAGTCTGCGCCTCCTGTTAAAAACAAAAATTTGTCTTATTTTAGAACAGCACTTTTCCAACCGGGCAACTTTTGAGAGGCGTAGACTGCCAGCCCCCAAAATCCCCTCGTTTGAAAAACTGTTTTATATTCAAGGTGTATTAGAAAAACCCGATGGCCCGATTTGCAATCTTTCAGTGCGCCAAGTACACCGCACAACTCCCCTCTCCTTTCTGGCTTTAATGTCCTCACCGGAAGCCCTCCTCACAACCTCTTGGCGTAGCTTAAAAGGGGCGACTGCGGCCAAATTTGGGTTGACTCTTCTCTTTGGATGTAGCGAAAGCGTGAGAGAGGAAACCGTATAGGAAACTGGGGTGCTTGGGCCTTTGCTTGCTGCTGTGTCCACACCCACCCTTGTCCCGTTGACAAGAGGGACGGACGGATCCTGTTTTGGGGGAGGGGAAGCGGGGAACACACTCGGGCGATTAAAAACGCACCCGCGTTTTCCACGGTTTCCCGAGTGGCTCGGCCTGGTGTGTGCCGCAGGTAACCGAGCCCGCCGTGGGTGCTTCCGAGACGGCCATCTTGAATGCCGCCTGCCTCGGTGGGCGGGGCTTGCCTCGTCTTGAGCACCCCTGTCTTTCCTGCTCTTAGGTGGTGATCGCGGCAGGGGCGGCCCCAGCGGCATGAGAGGAGGCCGAGGAGGCCTGATGGACCGCGGCGGCCCCGGAGGGATGTTCCGCGGAGGCCGTGGGGGAGACCGAGGCGGGTTCCGAGGAGGCCGTGGCATGGACCGAGGCGGCTTCGGAGGGGGCCGGCGAGGAGGCCCCGGGGGCCCGCCTGGACCTCTAATGGAGCAGCTAGGAGGCCGAGGCAGCAGGCGCGGAGGACCAGGGAAGATGGACAAGTAGGTCCGGGAAATTGGGATTGGCGGAGAAGGAAAGGAGGTGGGATTTGGGGAGCGTCTTCCGTTCTGATCCGATTCCTTCTCTTTTTCCCAGGGGGGAGCACCGTCAGGACCGCAGAGACCGGCCCTATTAGCGGCCAGTGGCTTCCCTTCTTTTTTTCCTGCTGGACTGCATTTACTACCAGATTTATTTTTTAAACCAGAAAATGTTTTAAATTTATAATTCCATATTTATAATGTTGGCTCCAACATTATGATGATTCCTTGTCTGTACTTAGTATTTTTCACCGTTTGTGGAGAAACATTAAAACAAAAGTTAAATGGTAGCGTGCCGAGTTATTCTTTATTCTTTTCCCTTTAAGGAAAAAAAAAAAAAACCACCACAACAAAAAAAAAAACATGGCTGTTTAACTAAAAACTCGTTTTTGTTTTTTGATTTTTTTTTCCTTTTTTTAAAGCAACTTTGTCGTGAGCATGCCCGGTAAAATTGTCTTTGGAAGTCAGGAGGATGGAAATTTAATGTAAACGATGTTTGTGGTTGTGATGTTTTTCCCTTTTTTTTTAAAAAATAAACTTCCAAATGTTTGTAAATGCAACACTTTTGCAGCATGTCTTCAAACACGAGCTCCGGTACGATGGCGAGAATCTCTTTGGGTTCTCAGGAAGACATGGGGTCACAGCTGGCTTGACGCCAAGAGTTTATTTTTTGCAACTTCCCCCGTGTAAAATGACCCATGGCTTTTCAAAGACATTTCACATACAGTAGTGGCCAAATTTTGGGAAAAGTGTATTTTTTAAAATTAAAATTTTGGAGTTTTGTTGTTAGTTGCGAAATCGTGTCCGACCCATCGCGACCCCATGGACAACGTTCCTCCAGGCCTTCCTGTCCTCTACCATCCCCTGGAGTCCATTTAAGATCACACCGACTGCTTCAGTGACTCCATCCAGCCACCTCGTTCTCTGCCGTCGTCCCCTTCTTCTTCTTTTGCCCTCCGTCGTTCCCAGCATTCGGCTCTTCTCCAGGGAGTCCTTCCTTCTCCTTAGGTGGCCAAAGTATTTGAGTTTCCTCTTCAGGATCTGGCCTTCCAAAGAGCAGTCAGTCAGGGTTGATCTCCTCTAGGACTGACCGCTTGGATGGCCTTGCAGTCCCATGAAATTATATATCAATGGAAAGATAATTTAATCAAGAATGTAATGCAATAACTTTTATGAAGGATTTACTATTAGAATAGCAGTTACAGGATAAAGAAGAAAAGTGAAACACGTAAAAAAAAACCCGAGATATGCAAAAACGATCACCATGTCAGTTAATCCTTAGTTGGGTAACCTTTAGCATGAATGACGGCCTTACAATGTCTTCCCATGGAGTGAACCAAGTCTTTTGAGTTCTGCAGCTGTTCTAATATGAAACCAAGATTGAATGATGGCTCCTATTAACTGGGTTTCATTGCTGGATCGCTTCTGACAAGTTTCTTGAGTCAGCTCCATAGATTTTCAATTGGGTGAAGGTCTGGGCTATTCCCAGGCCATTCCAGCAGTGGAATAGGATTAGCTGGAAAGTCCAAAAAAAAAAAAAGTGTTATTAGCCATCAAACCTCAAAAATACACTTTTCCCAAAAGGTTTCCACAATTTCGGCCACTACTGCATTTTCCCCCGCAAGAATAAATTGCATTACAGGTAGTTCTCGACTTAACGACCACAACTGAGCCCAAATTTTCTGTGGTTAAAAATGAATCGTTTGTTACAAAAGTGAGTTTTGTCCCATTGGACGTCCTTTCTTGCCTCAGTTCTTAAGTGAATCGCCGCCGTTGTTAAGTGAGTCACACGATTGCTGAAGCAAATCCGACTTCCTCATCGACTTTTACTTGGGAGAAGGTTGCAAAAGGGGATCTCGGGACACAGCAATGGTCATAAATACGAGTCGTCTGAATTTTGATCCCGTGATCATAGAGATGCTGGAAAGCTCGTAACTCTGAAAAGACAATGTTATTTAATAATAATAATAATAATAATAATTTTATTTCTATACCGCCCTTCTCCCGAAGGACTCAGGGCGGTGTACAGCCTATTTAAAAACAGAACAAAACAACGATTAAAATTTAAAATCATTAAATAATTAGGCTCCAATTAAAATCCCAAAAATTTAAAATAACCCCAATTTAAAATCGTTACGTTGATAGCCCATAACAATTTAATGTTATGACAAAGTCTCTTTTTTTTTCAGTGCCGTCATAACTTTGGTCACTATAAATGAACTGTTGGTAAGTCGAGGACTACCTGTATAATATCTCCCCCCCCCCCCCCCCCCCACGGCAATGTTTCCCAACCTCGCCAACTTCAAGGTCCTGGGGACTTCCAACTCCCAGGATTCCCCAGCCAATATGGAGTTTCCAAGGACGTTAACTCAAGGTCATCGGGATGGGAGTTGCGTCGCGAATCTCCGATGGGAACCGTTCCCGCCATGGAGAAGTCGCCTCTCGGCAGCAGATGGCAGCACCTCCTAAGCCATCGCTCCCCCGTATCCTCTCTTCCTCGCCTTTGAAACATCGTAAAGCTTAAGTGTTTTCGCAGCCAGATGTGCGGCTGTGAAAGGCAAGGCTGCCTTGAATCAAAAGGAGCCAACAATTTCCAGATGCCGAATCGGAAGTGTAATATTTGGAAGATCAGGACAAAAAGAAAACCAGCCCAGGATTTAGGGATTTCAGCCTGGCGCCAGAATCTTAAAAGGCTTTTATAGAAATGTTGCTGGCAAATTTAGAATTTTTAGAATAACGGGAGTTGGAAGGGACCCTGGAGGTCTTCTAGTCCAACCCCCTGCTTAGGCAGGACACTCTACACCACTTCAGACAAATGGTTGTCCAACCTCTTAAAAACTTCCAGTGTTTCACAACTGGAAAAATTCCAGAGCATTCACAACTTCTGGAGGCAAGGAGTTCCCCTGGTTAATTTTTTTTTTTTTTTTAATTTGATTTATATGCCACCCTTCTCCGGAGACTCAGGGCGGCTTACAATGCGTTAAGCAATAGCCTTCATCCTTTTGTATATTTTATACAAAGTCAGCTTATTGCCCCCACAAACTGGGTCCTCATTTCACCTACCTTAGAAAGGATGGAAGGCTGAGTCAACCTTGAGCCTGGTAAGATTCGAACCTGCAGAAATTGCAGGCAGCTGTGTTAATAACAGGGTGCATTAAACCACTGTACTACCAAGGCTCTTTTTATTTGTTCTAATTGTCATGTTATCAAATAAATAATCGAATTATTTCCTAGAATCTGGGCTTCCTTTGAATCTGGGCTCTCCCCCTCCCCCTCTCCCCCACCCTCGGCTTGGTCCAGTAAATCCTTCTTTTATTTTTGTTTTCAATTTTCAAAAACTTTGCAGTGCGATTATGACTCAGCTAGTGACAAAGCAGAGAGGAGAGACGCGAAGCTGTTCAAACTGTGATTTTGCAAAATTTGACGTCGCCAGACCAAAACAATACAAGAAGAGGCTAGATAAAAAAAGATTCTCTCTTGGGTACCAAACTGGTTTCTCCTTTCAAAGACCAATTCTGAGGATAGAAGAATTGAACGAGAGACTTAAAAGTTCTATCGTCGTCCCCTCCTTTATATAAAAAAAAAACTTTGTAAAAACTTTCTAGCGCTCCCAAAGGGGAGAATATAAATGCAGCTAATTCTGTCTTCTTTCCCTTCCTTTGCATTTTAGCCCTGCAAAGAAAAAAAAATAAGATATAAAAGCGAAAGCAAAACTTCAGGGAAGCCGAGATGGTTCATGGAAAAAGACCTTTCAGAAATGAAATATTTTTCTTCCCAAAGATCTCGAGATAAATCCTCGTGGTTTCCAGACAGGGATGCAATCAATTCACACAAGCACATATTTTTATAGTTTTAGGAACCATCTTAATAACTTACAATTTTCCTCTCTTTTCTTTGAGTTGCTTTTTTTTTTCTTTTTCTTCCCAAAGTTTTGTTTTGCTGTTCAAAGACCAAAATAAACGATGGCCAGGAGGAGGCAGCTATAAGTCGTTTGTTCATTTTTTTGTATTCCTGCCAATAAAATTATAGAGACGTGTCCACGAAATCACTGGGAGTCGCCTTTGACTTAAAGGAAACTTTACATATATCGTTTTATTATGGTTTATGACTTATTTGCTTTCCTGATCTCTGCTCCCTGTCCCAGTGGGACAAAAGGTCATGTTTAATCTATTGCCATAAAAAGTAAAGTTAACTTTGCTCTCGATTGCTTCTCGCATATTTACCCTGTGCAGCAGAAAAAAAAATTTTTTTACAGGGTGCCATTAAATCAGCAGAGAAGGGCTGTATCCTGGGCCAGAAAAACTCCTTTTGCCCAAGAAGGCAAAGGTAAAGGTTCCCCTCGCACATAAGTGCTAGTCGTTCCCGACTCTAGGGGGCGGTGCTCATCTCCGGTTCAAAGCGGAAGAGCCAGCGCTGTCCAAAGACGTCTCCGTGGTCATGTGGCTGGCATGACTCAACGCCAAACTCACACGGAACGCTGTTCCCTTCCCACCAAAGGTGGTCCCTATTTTTCTACTTGCATTTTTTGCGTGCTTTCGAACTGCTAGGTTGGCAGAAGCTGGGACAAGTCACGGGAGCTCACCCCGTTACGCGACACTAGGGACTCGAACCGCTGAACTGCCGACCTTTCGATCGACAAGCTCAGCGTCTCAACCACTGAGCCACCGTGTCCCTTTGCCCAAGAAAAATTACAGCAAATTATTTTTCTACGATTGCCTAGAATCGGTAGCTTTTTTTAAAACTACCGATGCACCCGAACTGGTAGTTTTTTATTACTAGCGGTTCTCCCGAACCGGTGTGAACCGGTAGCATTTCACCCCCTGGGCCCTATCCAACAAAACGAAATTTAATGTGGAGAAAGGCAAGGTTTTGCACCTGGGCAGGAAAAAAACCCCAAAGGTACAAGCACAGATTAGGCGAAACCTGGGTCAAAAACAGTAACTGTGAGAGGGATCTTGGAGTCTTAGTGGACAATCCCTTAAACATGGGCCAGCAGTGTGTGGCAGTAGCCCCCCCCCCCAAAAAAGCACTTTTGAAATAATCCTAAAAGCCTGGTGGCACAGCAGACTAATAGCCTGTTATTAACATTCAGCTGCCTGCAATTACTGCAAGTTCGAATCTCACCAGACTCAAGGTTGATTCAGCCTTCCATCCTTTCTAAGGTGGGTAAATTGAGGACCCAGTTTGTGGGGGCAATAAGCTGACTTTGTATAAAATATACAAAAAGTATGAAGGCTATTGCTTAACGCACTGTAAGCCGCCCTGAGTCTCCGGAGAAGGACGGCATATA